CATACATCCATTAATTAAAAAAATGTTTTGCAAAAGAACAATAATATAGCTAATAATGAAATTACAATTCTATTAATCACTAACCTTACCTTGCCTCCTATCCCATCAGCCTATCCTCTAGTAGAGGGTTCAGTTGGCGGCCGGTCGAAGCAGTTGGCAGCAGGCGTCGGGTTAATGAGCGCAGTCGGTCAGCAGCGGAAACCAGATGGTGCCGAACGTCCTCATCTACGCCTCCGACTCTCACATATTATATATATATATATATATATATATATATATATATATATATACTTCTCAGCTCCTCAGTATGTACGTATACGCAAATAAGCAAACCTACCATCCAACGATGTAGATGAATTGCGTTACATCGCGCAATTTCAAAACGATACACCCGCCGTCGTCACGGACGATTGGGAGAACGACTCCCAATTATAATGGATATATATATATATATATATATATATATATATATATATATATCTTATATATAAAAATGGATCTCTCGATCAAATGATTCGGTAAAACTCGAAAACGGCTAAACCGATTTGGCCAGTCTTAGCCTTGAAAAATTCGTGCCAATTCAGAGATGGTCGGAAAGGTGAGATAATATTTCAAAATCGCGTAGATACTTTACATTTTTAATTTGAAAATTTTTGTAGAAGCGTGATTTGAATAAAACAATAGACGGTGGCTAATACGCGAAATGTCAAACGTTTTTAACAGATGATGTTCAATTACGTTTAATAGGATGTTTTACGTGAATATTATTTAATTATAATTAAATTGTAGTAAGTAGTTTTGTTTGTAGTTTTATTTACACAAAAACGTTATTAAACGGCCCGCAAGTGTTACTAGAGACTCAAAATATCAACTTTTTTAAATGTAAATAAGAAAATGCACTTTTTGGCATATTTTTCTCAAACACGGTGCCCGGAACGATCTCATTTGTATAATTATATACTCATTGATATTTATGAAATATTATCTAGGTTATATTATTTTTTATTTATGTTATTTAAATTCAGAACCTAAATTTGGTATCGATCAAAGGAACATTTTGTCGAATAACATTTTCTCAGTTATAATTTCCCAGAATTTATCGAAGAATAGATAGTAATAAATGAAGGTCCGGGGTTAAAAAGGTCCACCACCGATGTGTCAAAAATCAGTAAAGTTAAGCATTGTTTAACAACAATATTTGAAAGTAGAAGAAAAAAGATGTATAACCAGCTATAACCTTGATTCTTATGACTTTGCTATCGGGGGATAAATGGTAATCTTTGAAAATCAGTTAAAATGTAATTATTTTATAAAATACCTTTAAAATTATAATAAGGCTTTAAACCTTTTTGCCACCTGCCCGTTTCAAGTTACCCCACCTATAGGGTAAAAAGGTCTAAATAACAAATTTTTGAAAAACATCAAAAAAGCACTTTCTACAATGATGAAGTAGAAGGCAGTTCACTGAACGTAGTCAGATAATTGTTCGTTTGATATGTGTTATTTGTTGTGATATAATTGTTATGGTTTTCACAATATAGTTTATATTTGCTCAAAGTCAAATTCGACCTTTGTGCCTCGCCCTGCTCTACATATACACTTTTTATTAAATTTACTTTAATTCATCGAATGTTACTTGAAACTTTTCAAAAAGCAGGTCAAAGAAGAAGTACTTAATTCATTTTCTATCTCTCCTCGCAAAAATTTGAAAATTTTGTATAAGCTCAGTAGTATTATTTACAATTATATACAAAATCCAGAATCCAAAAAGAATATGAAAAACTTGAAACGTAATCAATAAGTCGAAAGACCAAAAAAGACTTGGGTTTGCTTGCATGCCATGTTTTCTATAGAAAGTGTATAAAACTTGCAGTTTGATTGTATTGACAAAATATAGAAAAACTAATGTGGTTAATTGTTTTTATAACACCTCATTGTATATAGCATTCAAACAACACATCCTTATACATTTAAAGTATTAATATTTTTGATTCTCCAGAAATTGTTTAGAATATACCTTACTTAGCAAAACAATGTTTGCCGGGTCAGCTAATATATATATATATATATATATATATATATATATATAGATGTACAGTGGTACCTCGACAAAAGAGTTTATTTCATTGCGTAACCACGCTCGTATCTCGAAGAAATTTTTCTCGTATTAATACATCGGATTGCCATTAATTCGTTCCAGTATAGTGGTTTTTGTTAACTTATTTTTGATTATTATTAATCTTTTAACATTATTTGATAATCGTGAAATCGCCGAGGCAGCATCAACAATTCACCTGTTTGTGAATAGGTAGATAGTTGTGAATCATGTAACCGCCAGTAGATCACGCCGCGTGTAGCCGCTGAATAATGAAGCGACTGCGATGTGAACTCTGTAAACATATTGTGCGATAGTAATATCCTGATGTGGAAAGTTAACAATTCCGTCAAAAACTAAATACAACTGGATTCGTAAGTAAACAAATATTATGCGTTCTGATAAAAATTGAGTAATGCAAGGTGACCATATATTTAGGAAGGAAGAAGTGCCCACGGGGCGTCCTTTAATCACGAGAGCCTTGTAGAGAGAGGGGGTTTGACAGAAAATTACAAAATATCACGTCAGAGAGTAGAGGATCTAGCAAGATATCTTGTGTAATTATCTTTCACCCCAATTTTAAACTAGTTGGTATTGGTATTTTGCCTTGAGGCAAGTTACATGGACTTCCCGATTTGTGTATATATTCGACTTAATCCATGATAGATAAATTAATTTATGAGTTGATAAAAGTATTCGAAGTGGATTTATTACACAAATCGAACACGTCAACCCGGTCGGAATATTTTCAAAAATCAATAATTTTTATAAATGGGCCAGTTTCCGTAGGACTTTAATGGTTTAGTATGTTCATTAAGACCAAGTACTCTAACGTTATACCAAGTAAATCGTCTAATTTTAATTTTAACAAACGTCAACAAAACTACTCATTTTCTCAAACTTTGATGAATTTTCAAAATTAAACTACTTGTCGTAAGACCGTAATATTTCAGTAAGATCTATAAGACCAGGATGTATGTCGCCAAAAAAAGTTCCATAATAATCGGCTTAAGTTTTTTTTTCAACAGTTAATTACAAGAAAACGGCTCGGCAGATTTTCACTTAAAACTAATCAGTATCATTCCCAACTAATATCTTTCGATCAATTTTTGATTTTTTAAAATCGATTCGGTAATTTGAGCTTAAATGTGGACGAAAAGTTTAACACTCTTCTTCAAATTACAAAGAAACGGCTCGACAGATCGTCTCACAAACTATAGTGCTCATTGAGATACATCGAATTGCTTTTAAATTTCTGAAATCGGTTCAGGCGTTTTTGAGCAAACGTCGATGAAAGGTCTAATTTTGACAAATGCCAAAAAAACTATACAAATTTTTGCAAACTTTGACAAATTTTTAAAGCTAAACGAATTGTCGTAGGGCCGTAATATTTTAGTCAAAAAAAATCATAAAAAAAATCGTCAGCACGATTCCCAACCAATATCTTTCGAACGGTTTTTGAATTTTCAGAATCGATTCAGAATTGAGGGCTAAAACATGGACGAAAAATATTTCACTTTTCTGCTATTTATAAAGAAACGGCTTGGACGATTGTCGCACAAAACTCAGAAACCCTAGTCCTCATCGAGATACATCGAATGGCTTTTAAATTTTTGAAATCGGTCGAACCGTTTTTGAGAAAACGTCGATTTACGGCAAAAAATCTGTTCACACACATACTTATACTTTTTCCAAATTTTGGTCTCATTCGATTCAGAATGGCTTGAAACGTCGTGAAAACATAAAATTAGCGAATTGGATTTTTTTATGAAAACATAAACTTCTCCTTCAGGAAGTTAATTAAAAGTAACTAAAGGTTAGAGTAAATGTAAGCTGGCCACTTGTTCTTGCTTCAAATTCAGAGAGGAGCACCTAATTCATCAGTCAACTGTGATTGACGAGTATACTCGTCATGGAGATGTCGCCGAATATTGTCTCTTGACAAGCATTCGTCAAAAATTGTCATAATTTCAACAAAGCTTCAAATTGCACTTGAAAGCTCATAGTTTCCTAACAACGAGGGAATATTTCTTTTCTAAATTTTTTCAGTACATTTACTGTTAATACTATCACCCCAGTTCGGCTTGATGTTGACTTCTGGAACACCCACGTGTAGACGTGGAAAATAAAAACTTTGAAAAAAAATGTCACTAAACACGGAATTTAGGATAGATATCACTTCTATAAAATTCCAGAAAGCACTTTAGTTATTTTTATATGATTATATATATGGTTATTTTTAGCAATAATATGTTATATTACGTAACTTATTTTTTAACTATTTTTTAAGTTCATAAAATGTATTCCATAGCATGTCCATTAATCATTAATTGTTAACTAATTAATACAACTTTCAATTAATTTTTTAAACATATTTTAAATTTCAAAGTTTATTGAATTTTTATAATTCTACAGCATATAGTAAGCCTATAATATTTTAGTATATTATTTCAGAATAAAAAATCTATCGTTGAACAAATTTTTATCAAAATTGTCGAAAAAAAATTACATTTATTTACGCTTATATAACCTCGCACGTATTTTCTAAAAACTAATCGCAATGATTTGAAACTTTTTACATCAATTTAGGATTTTTGCGAATAAATTGTCACAAAAAATTGCACTTTTCTGATAACTATAAAGATACGCCCAAACTAATCATCGCAAGTCCTTATCGAGTTTTATCGAATAGCTTTTAAAGTTTTGAAACCGGTTCAGTCGTTTTTTGAAAACATCTCGTCGAAAAATCAAATTTTGACTCACATACACACACTTTTTTAAATTTTTCGGGTAGTCAAAAATACACATAAAACCTGTTTTTATAATTTTCTAAATTATTAATCTATATATAATTTATCTTATACAATAACCAATTATTTCATTACATCAGCATTATAAATTACAACTACAGTGTAAAACCATTTTCCAAGTTATCAATTTCAGGCAACTTTTCGTCAATAACTTGTTCAACATTGATTCCATTCAAAATTTCTTGTATCCTGTTTCTAACCGGATTCTCAATAGCGTCCATTATCTGATACCTCAATAAATTTGGCAAAATATTTACAGCAGCCTCAATTATGTAATCTAAGGTTCCTGCACCATCACACCTCACTTGAATATTGCCTAAATCGAATTGTAAATCATCCAAACTTGGATGTTTTCTGGTGTCTAAAGATTGACTGGCGTTGATTTGGACTTTTAGATACTCTGCTGTAAAAGTGGCAGTACCAGCTCTGGATAAAATACCGCCTGCTACTGATATTTGCCATTGGGTATTACCAGTTAAACGTTGGGTACCGATATTCAAAGCCACCATCAGAGTGTTGTTTTCCATGTTGAAATTCATATTACCAACTCTGTAGAACGATGATAAACCTTTGGCCCACGTATGTGTCAATTCAGCGTGAAAAATTCCTACAGAATGATTGTAGTCTTGCACCTTATAAGGATCATACCCCAAACTTCTGACTTTTTTCCTGCCTTCAGCAATCGCCATATCCAAAGGAGATATAGAATTAGGGAAACTGTGATCACCAGCATGTTTGTCCAAATTCGTATTTATCTCCTCCCTTATTTTCGTATAAGCCTCTTTTAAAATAAAAGGTTTGATAGAATCAAACAAAAATGTTCCCACAGAGTTGATGATTCCTTGGAACAAGGAACCCATGAAACCGAGATTTTTGAAGTCCATACTTATATCGGAAAATGTGATGTCCATATTGATGTCTTGGGCTCGAAGTTTACCATCGACTTCAACAGCAAGATTGGCTTTGGCTTCGACAAAAACATTTTTAAGTACAACTGTGAAAGGGCCTTTGGAACTGCTAATCCATGTAGACATTGTGTAGTTTCCATCGACGTCTAATTTTTCGATCGTCAGAGCGGCTACGACCTGATATTAGTTTTAATTTGCATTAATTCGATTAAATGTTAAGGTCATATTCAAGTTAATCTTCTTAAATATAAAAATGAATCGCAAAATGTGTTGGTAAGCTCCTGGACCAATTTGGTCAATTCTTTTTCTAAAATGTTCGTTGAAGTCAAAGGATGGTTCTTACGGCGAGAAAAAATCGAATAATTGCCGGAAAACCCCTAAAAACCAGCACTTTTCTTTTTCTCATACAAACGTTTTCTAACTAAAACGTAGAATCAATTTGAGCTTTATTGCTATTAAAGTTCATATTAAATTACAAGCACTCACTGTATACGCCTTCTAAACGATTATTCGGATTTTGATAAATCTTTCTGAAGTTTGTTAAGGACATTTTCTAGGATGTATTTGATTATAAAGTACTGGGATGTATGTGCAATATTGTGGAAATAAATGGAAAAAATTGCAAAAAACGACATGTCATTGTTTGCATTGAAAATAAATGAAAACTATCATCTGCCAAAAATTTCAATTTACTTATGAACCTAAACAATATTAGAATAGGTATGATAAATTCATGATTATGAATAAGAAAAATGAAATATCTACATTATTATTGCCGAAAAGCAGCTGAGATGTGCCAGAAATTAAAATAATATAAAATACAGTATATGTATGTATGGCAGATTGAATTATACACATATGAACAATTATTTATTTATTCATTAAAAAAATTATTTAGAATTTTGTTTCATGTGTCTAAAATTCATTCGTTTGGCTTTGGATATGGAATATTTAGCAAGTTGATCTTAGATTGAAGAGTGCTCATATGAACTAGATTTTACAAATTAATTCACCTAAGATTTGAACATAAAAAATATTTTTTATTAAATTATTAGTAAGAAAAATGTACTTTAGAAATTATAATTGTCAAAAATTATAGACTAAATTGTTGCAATTACGTTGTGTATGGGTAAAATCATTGTGATATTGTTCTTTCACCGCAAATGCTATATTATTTTTTTATGAATTTCTTAAGACCATAAAAGAATCACAAAGGCAGGACATCAAATAGGATATTAACACTTTCCACTCGCGAATTCCGAGATTTATATAAATTTTGCCGCCGGAGCGGCGACATCCGAATCCAAAGGGTTAAAAAGTATAGGATAGGATATTAAAATATTTGGAACTTTTGAAATGTAGACGTGTGTGCAGAACAACGTCTGTCGGGAAATCTCGTATATATATATATATATATATATATATATATATATTAAATGCCCCGAAGTTGAGAGATATAATAATGAAAAATTGGTTGTTTTTTTTATTGGATTTTTTTCATGAAATCATGAGTTTTTTGAAAATCGTTTGTACTAAAGTTATGGTATTTTCTACGATTATTTTTAATTTTGATGGAAATGGCACTCATAAACTATTTGATTCAGATGAAAAAAACTTTTTATGTGTCTTTTATTTGCATGATAGCTCACTTATTTTACATGCAGAAATACTTATTTTAAAGCTTATTTTGTTGACTATAAAACCTCATTTTCATATTAGCTTAATATTGTTCTTAGAACACTATAAAACAGTGATTTATTAAGATATTAATTTTATCATTTAGTTAAAAAATAATAATCTGTCAAATTGAATTTTAATATACGGTATGTAATTACATTGAACGGACATTTCACAACCGTGAGACGCATACGCAGAACTGCATCACTTGTCAGACGCATGTTGACTCTATTTTATTATATTATTTTAATTTTTGGCACATCTCAGCTGCTTTTCGGTGATAATGTAGACATTACATTTTCCTTATATATAATCATGAATTTATTATAATTTAATATTGCCTTAGCATATAAGTGAATAGAAATGTTTGGCAAATAACAGTCCTCATTTGTTCTTAATGTCAAACTAAGCTTCAAATATTTTCAAGGACAAACAATGATAAGCGGTTTTTTGTAATTTTTTCCATTTATTTCTACAATCTTCAGGAAGATTCATGAAAATCCGAATTATAGTTTAGGAGGATTAATGAAACTTACATTGTTACAGAAGAATTTAATATATAAGATATATATATATATATATATATATATATATATATATATACAGTACAGGCCAAAAGTTTCCGGACACATGAAAAAATCTCATTTTCTGAGTTTTTAGCTATATTTTTCATATAAAAATAATTTTATTCAAGTTAGTTTTGTACATTCTACGTAGTATTAATATTTAGTGACTGATTTGTAACCAATTTGTGAGAAATGATGGACTAATTAGCAATGAAAATGTTAAAATGTCACAGTCGATTTTCCTGAATATGACCACCCTTTGCTTTGATCACTGCAGCGCATATTTTTGGTAATCTTTTGACGAGTTTTTGCAATGTTTGCGTAGGTATGTTCTTCCAGGACTTGTTAAGGCAATTTCACAAGGCAGCAAGGCTGGTTGGATTCAAATCCTTCACGAGGCATTTAAGCTCGTCCCGCAACAGCTCTATTGGATCAAGATCCGGCGATTGTGCAGGACATTCAAAAAACCACTTCTGCGAACAGTAAATAAACAAAAGAGATTGCATTTTGCCAAAACCCACTTAAATTGGACCATCGATCAATGGAAATCAGTTTTATGGACGGATGAGTCAAAATTCGAACTTTTCGGAAATCATCGACGTAGGAAGGGTAATGAAAGACTCAATTCTAAGTGTATTTCGACAAAGGTGAAGCACGGTGGTGGTTCAGTGATGGCTTGGGGTTGTTTTAGATTCAATGGAGTCGGATCGCTTGTCAAAATAGATGGAACTTTAAAGAAAGAACAGTATCATACCATACTTCAGCGCCACGCCATTCCATCTGGTCTTAATTTAATTGGTCCAAAATTTATTTTTCAACAAGATAATGACCCTAAACACACTTCCTGACTCTATGCCAATTATTTGAAGCAAAAACAAGTCGAAAAAATACTTCAAATAATGGATCTTGATCCAATAAAACTGTTGTGCATTTGTCTGACTGATTTGCATCCAACCAGCCTTGCTGCCTTGTGAAATTGCCTTAACGAGTCCTGGAAGAACATACCTACGCAAACATTGCAAAAACTCGTCAAAAGATTACCAAAAATATGCGCTGCAGTGATCAAAGCAAAGGGTGGTCATATTCAGGAAAATCGACTGTGACATTTTAACATTTTCATTGCTAATTAGTCCATCATTTCTCACAAATTGGTTACAAATCAGTCACTAAATATTAATACTACGTAGAATGTACAAAACTAACTTGAATAAAATTATTTTTATATGAAAAATATAGCTAAAAACTCAGAAAATGAGATTTTTTTTATGTGTCCGGAAACTTTTGGCCTGTACTGTATATATATATATCATTTTATTTACAAAATTAAATTCATACCTGTAAAGCGGCCAAATCGGTCCTCACATGCTTTATTCGAAATTTGGACAATCCTCTGACATGAACATTCATAAAGTGCATCGTGGCCACCGAGAAGGAGTGTTTCATCGGCGGAATGGCCATCGGATCCGGAATGGGAGCTCCGGGTATTCCGACCGGATCCGGCTGCTTGTAATGCTCGAGCACCCGCCGGATCTGGTCGCTCAGTTTTAATTCAATCTGCTCTTTTTGATCATCATTAATATTTTTGGAATCTTCAGTAACACTTGGCGGGATCAAACTATTCTCTAAAAAAATAATAATATTAATAATAACGTTTATTAATATTGTATTGAAATAAATACTAGTTGGTATTGGTAATTAGCCTTGAGGCAAGTTACATGAACTTCCCGATATGTGTAAAAAATCGATTGAATCAATAAAAAGTAAATTAATTTATGAGCGATTAAAAGTATTTCGAGTGGATTTATTACACATAATTGAAAATGAACGAACACGTTAACTCGGAGTATTTTCTAAAAGCAATTTTTCAAAAATCAACAATTATTATATTTGAACCAGTTTCCGTAGGATTTTAATGGTTTAGTATGTTTATTAAGACCAAGAACTTTATTGTTATATCAAGTAAATCGTCTAATTTTAATTTTAGCTAACGTCAAAAAAACTACTCATTTTCTCAAACTTTGATGAATTTTCAAAATTAAACTACTTGTCGTAAAGCCGTAATATTTCTAGTTCAAGTTCTATAAGACCATGATGTATATCGCCAAAAAAAGTTCCATAAAAATCGTCTTAAATTTTTTTTTTCAACAGTTAATTACAAGAAAACGGCTCGCTAGATTTTCACCTAAAACTAATCAGTACCATTGCCAACTAATATCTTTCAAACAGTTTTTGATTTTTTAAAGTCGATTCGGTAGTTTGAGCTTAAACGTGGACAAAAAGTTTAACACTTTTTTTCAAATTACAAAGAAACGACTTAGCAGATCGTCGTACAAAACTGACAAACCATAGTCCTCATCGAAATACATCAAATGGCTTTTAAATTTCTGAAATCGGTTCAGGCGTTTTTGAGTAAACGTCGATGAAAGTTCTAATTTCGACAAATGCCAAAAAGACCATACTAATTTTTGCAAATTTGGACGAATTTTTAAAGCTAAACCAGTTGTCGTAGGGCCGTAATATTTTAGTATGATCTAGAAGACTATAGTATCTACCGTCAAAAAAATAAGAATAAAAATCGTCGAAAAAAAATTTTTTAACACCTTATTACAAGACTAATCCGCACGATTCCCAATCAATATCATTCGAAAGGTTTTTGAATTTTCATAATCGGTTCAGAATTGCGGGCTAAAACGTGGACGAAAAATTTTTCACTTTTCAGTGATTTATAAAGAAACGGCTTGGCCGATCGTCGCACAAAACTGACAAACAATAGTTCTCATCGAGATACATCAAATAGCTTCTAAATTTTTGAAATCGGCCCAGTCGTTTTCGAGAAAACGTCGATTTACGGCAAAAAATCTGTTCACACACACATACACACACACATACTTTTTCCAAATTAGGTCTCAATAGATTCAGAATGGCTTGAAACGTCGAGAAAACATAAAATTAGCGAATCGGATTTTTTTATGAAAACATAAACTTCTCCTTCGGGAAGTTAAAAATCTTATCAATTAAATTGAACAAATCGATTTCTGTGTAAACTCTAATATTTCATTTTTATTATTTATTTACCTTCTCCTGCGGTCGAAACTCCGCCCAATGTGCAAATCACAAACAACAAAAGTACTTCACGTTTCATATTGTTCACATATCAACAATCAATTTATTATCACTCTAGCAATTAATTCTAACAATTAATTAATCACTTTAACATTTGCAGCAGCACGTGATATGTCTTCGGATAATTCTTGACAATGAATGTTAGACGAGAGCAGTGCTCACCAGCGAACTCGGGTCAAAGGCCAAATACGTACATTCGATAAGATTATCGACTGAGAGGAAGAGAAATATCAATATTTACTTATTTCACATTTTTCATAGACATTTTATTATGTTAGTCAACTACTCACAATGACCGAGTTTCGGGTAAATTGAATGAAGACTGAATGTTAGGATTTTGATTTGAAGTAAAAACCAGTTGGTATTGGTATTTTGCCTTGAGGCAAGTTACATGAACTTCCCGATATGTATAAACAATCGATTTAATTAATAAAAATGAATTAATTTATGAGTGATTAAAAGTATTCCGAGTGGATTCATTATACATAATTGAAAACGAACGAACACTCTATTGTTATACCAAGTAAATCGTCTAATTTTAATTTGAACAAACGTCAAAAAAAAACTACTCATTTTCCCAAGGGGGCGTCCATTAATCACGTGAGGTTTTTAGGGGAGGGGGGGGGGGTTTGACAAAAAATCACGAATTATCACGTGGGGTAGGGGGGTTATGGTAAGATATCACGTGTATACGTATAAAAGAATAAGAAATTTAAGATTTTTCACGTAACTAAAAATACACGTGATGTTTGGTGGGGGAGGGGGGGTAATTTTGAATATCACCACGTATCACCAAGGGGGAGGGGGGTCCAAAAATTCTTAAAAACTAGCTCACGTGATTAATGGACGCCCCCCAAGCTTTGATGAATTTTTAAAATTAACTACTTGTCGTAAGGCCGTAATATTTCAGTAAGTTTTATAAGACCATGATTTATATCGCCAAAAAAAGTTCAATAAAAATCGGCTTAAGTTTTTTTTCAACAGTTAATTACAAGAAAACAGCTCGGTAGATTTTCAACTAAAACTAATCAGTATCATTCCCAACTAATATCTTTCGAAAAGTTTTTCGTAATTTGAAAAAAAAAGTGTTAAACTTTTCGTCCATATTCAAGCTCATACTACCGAATTGATTTTCAAAAATGAAAAACGGTTCGAAAGATATAATTTAGGAATGATACTGATTAGTTTTAGTTGAAAATCTATCGAGCCGTTTTCTTGTAATTAACTGTTGAAAAAAAAGCCAATTTTTATGGGACTTTTTTTGGCGATATATATCCTGGTTTTATAGAACGTACTGAAATATTACGGCCTTACAACAAGTAGTTTAATTTTAAAAATTCATCAAAGTTTAGGAAAATATGAGTAGTTTATTTGACGTTTGTTAAAATTAAAATTAGATGATCTACATGGTATAACGATGGCGTGTTCGTTCGTTTTCAATTATGTGTAATGAATCCACTCGGAATACTTTTATAAACATCTTAAATTAATTTAATTTTAATGATTAAATCGATTATTTATACATATCGGGAAGTTCATGTAACTTGTCTCAAGGCAAAATACCAATACCAACTAGTTTAAATAGTATTTGAATTCTCGAAATCGGATCTGAACTTTTGCCTAAAACGTGTCCAAAATATTTTGCACTGTTCTGCTAATTTAAAAAATATATATATGGCTCAACCAATGGTATCAAAAAAATAACTTGTGTGCCTTTTTTAAATCGGTTTGGAGGTTTCTGAGAAAGCGTCGATGATAAAAATCGGCAAAAAAAAAGGTAATTGCAAGAGGCTCGGCCAATCGTTACCGAAAACTTATCAGCACGATTCCCATCCAATATCTTTCAAACGAGTTTGAATTTTAATTTTTTCCAAGAGATTTTTGCGAACTACAAAGAAACGGCTTGGCTGATCGTCGCGCAAAACTCAAATGCTCATCGAGATGCATCGAATGGCTTATAAATTTTTGAAATCGGTTCAGCCGTTTTTAAAAAACGTCGACTAAAGGTCAAGAATAACCTTACATACACCCATACATACATACACACACACACACATACATACATAAATGCCACTTACAACTAAGTATTTACCTGAAAATATCCCAACTATCTAGAAATTTGAGAATTTGTTCTGTTTTCCTCATAAATTGCAATTTAAATAGCCAATGCTCACCGTTTCATAAGCATGGCGAATATACACGTCAAAACACAAAATTTTGCCACGTCGAGTGGCATGACGAGTATACACGTCAGTAATAGTTAACCGATTTAAAGATTCTATGAAATTCGATTTATTTAATTCTGCGAGACGATCTACCGAGCCGTTTCTCTATCAATTAGTATTAAGCATTAGCAGATAATGCAAAATTTTATACAATCACATCCACAACACATTATAAACAACTTGATATACCAAAATACATTTTGTCCTTCTCAAAAATATTAATGGACATCGCAAAAAGTCACTATCTGCATAACGAATATAATCGTCAAAACTAATCGTAAAATTCTGCTAGCTTCTAACACAGTTAACTAGTAATAGTTATTATTAAGTATATGTAAAAAAAAACAATTATCATTAATTTGTTTTATTTTCAAAATATATAAATATATTAAAACATTGCATTGAACAGTATAAAACAAAATAAGTTAAAATTAGAGAACAATATTATATAAAACACAATTAAAAAATATATGGATTTTTAGGCGGATTCCTGCGCCTCTGGCGCACAGATGTAGTTTGTTTATTTTTTTCAGATGAAACTTTTTGATCTTTTTCACCATCAAGATCCTTTTTTTCTATTGTTGCCTTACTTTTCATAGTCGAACCTACAGGTGTGTAAAATTTATCATCACACTTATTGTCAGGTGTTGCACAATTATTTTTTGTCCAAGAATTTTCATCGCTACAGGGCAAAAAAACATCATCATCTACAGAACTACCAGAGTCGACGAACGGTTGGCATATTCTTTTAAATTTACGTTTGTGCATAGTTTTTTGCATGTTTTTATCACTTTTCAAATCATCTTCATGCTCATCTAATAAATTATTTTTACTCGACGACGGCTTCGTTTTCGCTTTAGAAATTTTATTTGGGGTTTTTGTGAAAACTTCATCCAAGGAAGAAGAACTATCTTGGTTTGATAAGATAGCCTTTTTATACATAGATACTTTAGTTGTTTTTGCAACAGTTGGTGTTTGAGTAAATTTCATAGGCGTCTCGAAAACTTCGTCATCGGATAGAATTATTGTTGGTGAAGACAGTAAATTAGAATTCTTGCACGCAGTTTTAGGTGCTGGTGTTTTGCATAAAACTGGAAACGGAACTTTATCATCATCGTTTGCACTTAAATTTTCTTTCGTGTGCAACTTATTCGGTGTTTTAGCAAATTTCTTGCTAGATTCTAAGTTTTGCGTTTTAACATTAGTTTTACTAGTAGATTTTGCTCTACTTTCGTGTAGTTGCACAGGCTGCTTTGGTTTACTCAAAATCGAATCAGATTTGTTCTTAATTCTCGTTTCTATTGGAGTAGTTAAATCCGTCTTAACTTTTACCCGTTTATCATTTTCTTCACAATCCACGACATTCAAACAAATTTTGGGTATGTTCAAATTGACCGGAGAAACATCTTGATGTATTTTAAATTTAGTTTTTTTTCCAAGGCGTCCACCAACTATTGCCTTCGTAGCAGCCGGTGTTTTGAACGCAAGTTCATTAAATATTTTCTGAGGTGTTAATTTGATGTTTTCATCTGTTACAATATCACTTAAATAACAATTACTTTTTTCAACGTACTTGGTAAAAATGAAGCTCAACAGCAAAGTAATAAATTCTTGCACAAATTCTAAATTGTTAAAAGCAACATCTTGCAACAATAAAGATTTTTCGGGATCCATAGAAGATAGAATCATATCGTATTTACCGTATTTGACTGTATACAAGCACTGATCATAAAAATGATAACATTCGTTGGTTTTAAAATCGTTATCTTCTTGAAACATATCCTTTACTTTTGAGAATTTGGATTTGGCGATGGCGCGAATTTTATTACATACTGAAAAAAGTCTTTTGGTTACATTTGTGTTTCCCAAAAAGCAGTTCAAACGAGCCTCTAGACTGTTAACAGTCAACATCAGGCCGAAGCCGGATTTTCCGTAACAAGAGATGCATTTGCAGTCACAATCATGGTTGAAGAAATCGGGCAACTGCGATGATTGGTGAACGAGAGGCGGAGAACCCTAAAAAAAAGATAAAATACAATTTTGTACGATTTTATTTAAACAGTAAAATTGAACGCCTTATATGATTTTACTAATCAAATGTGGAAAATGCATCCACAACAACAACTAGGTGGAAGTAACATTTTGCCTTAAGGCAGGTTGCATGAACTTCCCAATACGCGTAAATAAAGAACAAAGAAGGTTCCAGTCTAGAGGCATAAATTTTGTTATTTTTGAAAGGCCGTGAAAAATGCAAACAATATTTTTAACTTCCCGTAGGGCAAGTTATAATAATCGCAAAAAAATCGAAAATGAAAATTTTTATATATCTTTACGTTTCAGAGGTTTCTGAACATTTTGGCATACCTTAGAAAAAATGGATGTATGTGTGTGTGTGTGTGTGTATGTATGTATGTATGTATGTATGTGCGGATACAAATTTTCGTCGACGATTTCGGGAACACGGATCAACCGATTTGAATTCAAAAAACATTCGATTCGTATTGATAAGGAGACGGACTGATTAGTTTTTGGCGAAGGCAGGTCTAGCCGTTCCGAAGATACGAGGCAAAAAGTGCCGAAAACGGTAACTCAGCTTTTAAGAAAACGGAGCGTCTGATTTGAATAATTCGGAAATCATTTTATTTGTATTGACTAAATGAAGAACTGTTCAAATTTTTGTAAAGGCAGGTCCAACGACTTTGGAGATATGGCGGAAAAAGTAAAAAAAATGAGCCATTTGGCGGTCAAAAATGAACATTAGACATATGCACATCAAATTATCAGATATTTTATAGAGATTTTAACAATAAGTATAAATTTTGTTTACATTACTATGGGTTCCGTACCAATGTTTACGCGTTAGACGGCGACGCGGCGCTCACGCGCTTTGATATTTCGTCTTTATGCAGTTAAAGCATTACGATTGCTTTGAAAAAAAGTTCAGAATTTCCAAAATATTTCAAAATAAATGATTTAAGATAGAATGATTTAATATGGTTCGAAATTCTATTAAAGGTTTCAAATCATTGATCAACTTTTATTGATTATTATTATTGATTATTTTTAATTACTCGAATTTTGAATTGCGGTAAGGGAAGTTCCAGCAATTTGCCTTAAGGCACGATGCCCTAATTGCCTTAAGACAAAATTTCAAAAATGAAAATTTCCCTAATTGCCTTAAGACAAAAATCAAAAATGAAAATTTTTGCATATCTTACGTTTCAAAGGCTGTGTGTGTGTGCGGTTACAAATTTTCAACGACGATTTCGAGAGCAAGGATCAACCGATTGACTATGTGAAAAATGATTACTTTTTTAGAAAGACGTGTCTAGCTTTTTTAAAATATTGAAAAAAATTATAAAAAAGTCAACTTTATTTTATTTTTTAAATTTTCAAAAAAATAAATTTTCTCTTTTAATTCAATCAATGCTTCAGAAAATCGCAAAAAACTCAAAATGAAGAAAAAACCATTTTTTTAAAAATATTGAAAATAAATATCAGTTATTAATTACATTTTGAAAAATATGCAAAGTTTTTCAAAAAAATTACGTGATTTATTACTATACCCAACTATACCCTTGTACACAACATGATATTTCGTGATTCTTTGTCTATAATATAAACAAATCAACAATTCCCATCAAATATTTTCAGAACAGTTTGCTTATTTTTAAAATCGGTTCAAAATTTTTTGCTAGAATGTAGACAAATTTTTTTTCGCGTTTCTGCTAATTATTATTAAATAATTACACACTAAACATTTATTTCAAAGGCGTTTGTAACTGAAAGAATTTTAAATTTAAAAATATATATAGATAAAGTAACGACTTACATTATCAGCCATTCTGATCAGTTTTGGCGGCTCCGGACTTAGCATGGAACTATCTCTGTAAGCCTCAATGTTAATTTGTTGTTTAGTTCCTCGAGTTGGACTCGTAAACATTTTCTTAACATGCTCAACAACTTTCTTAGATTTGCTGCCACTTTTACTAGATTCAGACAATTGCGATTGATTCGTGATATTATTCAAAACATTTATTTTTACCTGGTCAAAGAAAAAATTATATCAACCTAAATTACAAAATTACTAAATCAAATCATAACAAATACCCTACCTGAGCATCGGCATACTTTTCCTTGACAATATCTGTTCTTAAGAGTATGCACAAAACGTCAGCAATACGGTGTGTTAAACCTAATTTTTGCAACAATTTCAGCATTTGTTTCAAATAGAAATTAACCAATCGTAGTTGACAAATATGCATACTGTATTTCCCTATTTTGAGAGCCAGATCGATAAAAACGCTCACTTTTATATTGAAACAATATGTTGTGGCATCTGAAAATAAAACTAATTAATATCAAAAATATTTCTTAATATTGATAAAACGTAAAGAAATTTTATGAAAACCTTTGTCTTGCATAGCTACCAAAAGTTCATCATTTATTAAGCCGTGCAGGGACAATATTGACTTCCAGGATGAATTATTGTTTGTTTTTAATAGAGCCTCAATCCAGTACATTCGAGAAATTAGTAAATTATCAGAAATTTTATCCTTTTTAATCCTTGCTATGGTGCCGAGTCCGAGAACTATTGCTGGAAATATATTTAAAAATAAATGCAAATGTGAAAGAACATGTTGACGGGGTAGTTTATCAACCAAAAAGTTATAAACTTCCCTTAGGGTAGGTTATAATAATCGCAAAAAAAACGAGAATGAAAATTTTTATATATCTTTACTTTTCAAAGGTTACTGAAAATATTGGCATACTTTAGAAAAAATGGATGCGTGTGTATGTATTATGTGCAGATACAAATTTTCGTCGACGATTTCGGGTATAAGGATCAACCGATTTGTATAATTCAAAAAACATTCGATTCGTATTGATAAAAAGACGTTCTAATTAGTTTTTGGCAAAGGCAGGTCCAGCCGTTTTGAAAACACGGGGCAAAAAAGCCAAAAATCGTAATGCAGTTTTTGAGAGATCGTAACGTCCGATTTGAATAATTCAAAAAACTTTATCAGCATTCACTAAACGAAGATCTGTTTAAATTTTTTAACAAGGCAGGTCGAGCGGTTATGGACTCTCAATAAAAACGTTTAAAAAATACCATTTGACGGTCAAAAATGTTCATTAGATATATGCACATCAAATTATCAGATATATTAGAGATTTTAATAATGTTTTCACATTTTGTGTCAATTTTTTTTTTTTGGGTTCCGTCTCAAGATTTTTAATTTTGAAGTTCATTTATATTGTTCAAACTAATTCGACATTTTTGACGTTTTCAACAGTATGGAATAACCGGTTTGTATGATTAAAAAAAAATTCGTTTCGTACTCGATCAGTGGGCGGTTTTGCAAAAGGCACGTCTAACCGTTTCGGAGGAATGAAGCGCAAACGGTGTAGAAATAGTCATGCAGTTTCTGAGAGAACGTATCATCCGATTAGACTAATTCAAAAAAACATGTTGCTTGTGTAGGCGGTGTGAAAAAAATGCTTTTACAGAAAATTTCATAACTTCGAAACTTTTCAAAACAAATCAAAATTTAAAAATAAAATTGAAATTCAAATTCAAATTCAAATTTTCGAAATTTTTCATCATTTTCAAAAAATATCAAAATTAAAACAAAAAAACGATGTCTTACAAATAATTGAGAATCATTAAAATCATCGACAATTGTTTTTTAGCAGTTAATTACAAAGAAATGGCTTGGCTGATCTGTGTCCAAAACTAATCAGTACGATTCCCAAATGTTATTTTTCAAATAGAATTTGAATTTTCAAAATCGGATCAGGTTTTTTTGGCTAAGACGTGACCGAAAATGTTTGCTCTTATGATAATTATAAAGAAACGGCTCAGCCGATCGTATCAAAAATTTAACCAATGCGAGTGCTTATCATATTTCATCGAATGGTTTTAAAATTTATGAAACCCATTCAACTGTTTTTGCGAAAAAGTCTATGAAAGTCGAAACGTCGAAAAAAATAGTCATTTTTTTAAACTTTGGTGATTTATTAAAATTAAACCACTTGTTGTAGGGCCGTGATATTTTAGTATGTTCTAGAAGACCATGATATCCATCGCCAAAAAATTTCATAAAAATCGTAAAAAAAAATTTTTTAACATTAATTACAAAAACACGTGCCAACGAATATTTACCAAAAACTAATCAGCACAATTCCCAACTAATATCTTTCAAACAGTTTTTGAATTTTCAAAATCGATTCAGAATTGCGGGCTAAAACGTGGGCGAAAAAAAATTCAAGTTTCTGCTATCTCTCAACATATACCGAACTGCTTTTAAATTTTTGAAATAGGTCAGCCGTTTTTGAGAAAACGTCGACAAAGTCAAAAATCAGCTCACATACACACACACACACACACACACACCCAAATTTGGTCTCGTTCGATTCAGAATGGCTTAAAACGTCGAGAAAATATAAAATTAGCGATTCGGATTTTTTGACGAAAACAAACTTCTCCTTCGGAAAGTTAAAAAATTACCAAAACTTATAATAAAAATAGAAATTATGATTTTTATATGTATTGTAATAACATCAAAATGATATTAGGTTGTCAAATATCTCCCTTCCGCCTTTTTGTATTATAAACCAATAGCAAAAAAGCGGAAGGGAGATATTTGACAACCTAATATGTTATCACCTAAAAAAAATGTTTTCAAGTTTACCTTTATCCTCATCTTTCCTGTTCCATAGATATTCCGTATAGCTCAACATAAAATCATACAGGTACAATTTATTCTTCTCTTCCAAGTTGCTTTTCAATAATTTAGCAGCATAAGAATTACATTCCGTAACAATTGAACCAATTTCCTTGTTATATGACATAGATCCTAAAAGCCTTGAAACACATCTCAAAGCCATCAAGTGATTCTCAAGATTTTTGGCTAATTGAAAACCTAATAGAACCAAATCATATTTGTGATAACCATATGAACCACGTTCACTTAGTGATATTATTGCCATTTCCATCAATTCGAGAGCAGACTCAAAGTAAATCTTAAGTTCTTCATCATCACTAATAGTATCATAATTTTTAACAGCTTCACCCCAATATTTTATGCCCTGAATTAATTGCTCAACAATAGAATTCTCCTTTTCGAGATTAAGTTTATTATCGTCGATAGGGTTGATATCACAAACTTCGTTTGTATGTTTGAGACCATCTCGATCAGATTCTTCAGGTGTCTGGTTAACCAGACTTGGTGTTTTAGCAATTTCATTTGCGTATTCATTTCCTAAAGCCAAGTATTGCATTGCATATAAATTTCCTAATAGTGCATGCGCCAATGTCTTCGATTTTCCTTTGAAATACTAAAAAATAATATCAACATTAGTAAAAAAAATTCATTATATTCATTATATTCATTATTCAAATAGAAACAAGGTATATGTGACGGAAGTAACTTGCTGATTAGTTTTTGACACAGGTAGATACAGCCCTTTCGGAGATACGGGGCAGTAAATGGTAGTTCAGTTTTTGAGAGAACGGAGCGTCCGATTTGAGTGATTTAAAATACATTTTACTTGTACTAACGAAATGAAAAACTGATTAAATTTTTGGGGAGGCAAGTCCAGTGGTTTCGGAGATCCAATGAAAAAACTAAATTAATGGTGTATGATATCGTGTCGTAAGGCAAATTGCTGGAACTTCCCGCACCGTAACGAAATGTTCGAGGAATATTAATTGTTTTCAAATAGATAATTATAAACATTGTAACATTGTCAAATATTTATAAGAACTAGTTGGTTTGGTATTTAGCCTTGAGGCAAGTTACATGAACTTCCCGATATGTGTAAATAATTGACTTAATTAATAAAATATAAATTAATTTATGAGTGATTAAAAGTATTCCGAGTGTATTTATTACACATAATTGAAAACGAACAAACACGTTAACTCGGAGTATTTCATCAAAGCAAATTTTAAAAAATCAATAATTTTTATAATCGAACCAGTTTTTGTAAGAATTTAATAATTTAGTATGTTCATTAAGACCAAGTACTCTATCGTTATACCAAGTAAATCGTCTAATTTTAACAAACGTCAAAAAAACTACTCATTTTCTCAAACTTTGATGATTTTTTAAAATTAAACTACTTGTAAGGCCGTAATATTACAGTAAGTTCTATAAGACCATGATATATATCGCTAAAAAAAATTCCATAAAAATCAGCTTAAATTTTTTTTCAACAGTTAATTACAAGAAAACGGCTCGGTAGATTTTCACCTAAAACTAATCAGTATCATTCCCAACTAATATCTTCCGAACAGTTTTCGATTTTTTAAAATCGGTTCGGTAGGATGAGCTTAAATGTGGACGAAAAGTTTAAATGGTTTTTAAATTTCTGAAATCGACTCAGGCGTTTTTGAGAAAACGTCGATGAAAGGTCTAATTTTGACAAATGCCAAAAAAACGATACCAATTTTTGCAAACTTTGACGAATTTTCAAAGTTAAACCAATTGTCGTAGGGCCGTAATATTTTAGTATGATGGAAGACTGTAGTATCTACCGTCAAAAAAATAATAACAAAAATCGTCGAAAAAAATATTTTTCAACACTTTATTACAAGAAAACGGCCCGGCCGACCTTTCGAACGGTATTTGAATTTTCTTAATCTGTTCAGAATTGCGGGCTAAAACGTAGACGAAAAATTTTTCACTTTTCTGCTATTTATGAAGAAACGTCTCGGCCGATCGTCCCACAAAACTGACAAACGATAGTCCTCGTCGAGATACATCGAATGGCTTTTAAATTTTTGAAATCGGCCCAGCCGTTTTCGAGAAAACGTCGATTTACTGCAAAAAATCTGTTCACATACACATACACACACACAAACATATACTTTTTCCAAATTTGGTCTCATTCGATTCAGAATGGCTTGAAACGTCGAGAAAACAAAATTAGCGAATCGGATTTTTCGATGAAAACAAACTTCTCCTTCGGGAAGTTAATTATATGAACTGAATTGCAAAGTTAAAATTATTTATTTAAACAATGTAAGTGGCTTTAAAACTTTTGCCAGAATTCAAATTTAAATCTACAAACTTCTTCTTTGATAGTTCTAAAAATAATGGTAAATAATAAATATGAGTTAATGTTACACCAATCTTTAGCACAAACCTTCAAATTAGATTCAAGTTCTTCCAGAGTGCTATTGATTAGTGGCAAGTCTTCGGAAGTAATGATTCTAAGAAATGAACAAGCCTTTGCTCGGGTTATCGGATCATCAGATATCAGTTTGATATTTTTGGCTGCTTCTCTCATACGAAGCTTACTTCGCCATAATTCATTAAAACCCTGTATGAAAAAAAAGTAATGTAATGTAGTTTTAATTTATGGTTATTTAAATAAGTTAACTGTGATTGAAAAATATACAAATTACTATCCATTTTTTTCATTAAAATATAACGATTTTGAATAAAGTGCTCGCCAAACAAAAAAAAAACGAAATCCGCTATGAAATGTTATTTGATATATACTATAAAAAATTCGAATAAAAAATAATTAAAATTGTTGTAAATTTGACGCGGAAGGCCGAAATGGCTGCGGTACCGCCGATTTTTTTTTTTTACAATTATATTCTATTTTGTTTCTTTAAATTATAATAAATAACTACTTTTATATAAATATCATGATTTTATTATTTTTCCTTTCGTACATAAAGAAATGGCAAAAATGTACGTTTTTTTTGGCTGCTACTGTGGTGTAGCCCCTTAAGGCAAACTTACATGAACATACTTAATATTTGGCTATTTCAAAAACTATTCTTGCTAATATTTTTCGATTGTGAAGCATAAACCTATATTTTTCATTTACGACGAATATATTGTCAATCAACCCAATTAACTGATTAAATAAGAATTAAAAATAAAATCTGTGTATCAAAACTATTGAATGATTTATTGATTGTATTGAACTTAATTCCTTTTTAGTAATAGTGATAAGAAAAGTAGTAGTAAGAAGTAAAATGTAGCAATATTTTTTGATTGTGAAAAATAAACCATTTATGACAAACATACTTGTCAATCAACCCAATGAATTAATTAAATAAGAATTAAAAATAAAATCTGTGCATCAAAACATACCTTTAGTTCCATCAGCAATAAATTTATATAATCATTCTTCTCCAAAGAAATATTGTAATGTTTTGCAATTGCACTCTGTGTGAGTATCTCATAACAAGATGAAGTAAAATCTGAATTATCATGCCTAATTTTGAAAATCTTGGCAAACTGCATACTTTTCGTAAAATGTGAACCAATCAACAGAAAATAGCATGCTTTAGTAAAATCCTTGATATCACAATAGGCATTGGATAATATTTTGAAAAAATATTTAAACTCATTAACACATTCGCCTGGTAAAATAGAATTTTTTGCAAAGGTTTTTAAATATATCAATAGCGTATCCTGTACAAATGGTGCATATTCTGCAGGCAGTTTCATTCCATTTAGTTTCACAATTTGACTAAGCGCTTTGTAGAAAGCGGTTACACATTTCTGTACATGGAAAACATGTTGAGGACATTTATGCCTAGTTTTTTCCATAGATGCAACATACTTGGGAAAGAATCTTGTTAAATCACTTGACGGTTTTTTAAATTCTTTTTGAATTAATTTTGAAATCAGGGCACCCGATGCATGTTGTAGATTTAGGAAAAGATGCGTGTCGGTATTACATGGTGGACAATTATTGGTATTAGTGCATTTCTTGATTAAAATTTGTAGCACAATAAATAGTTTATATGCAGTGTGTGGTTTTATCACTTCATATTTGACATGATAATATCTGTACAATGCTTTACTTATGTAATTAAGTACAGTGATGTTATAATAGTTTTTATCGTCAGTTTTATTAATTATGTGTGCTAAATCATCATCAAATTCATCTCTGTAAAAGCATGCGTGCAGCTTTGTTACAATACTCCAAGACCCTTTATCGTCAATATCTCTCAACATTTTTGAGAGAATCTTTATTATGGTTAAATCAAACTTATTGTCAATACATATTTCGGTATGTACCAGAAGTATTGTTAAGATCAATTTATAGCTTTTTTCTGATATTTTACATGATTCATTGCTGAAACCAAATAGGATCTCAAAAAACCTTTGCAGAAAATGACAAACTTTCATTTTACTAGGAGCTGATTTTTGCAATTTTCTAATATAATAATTAATTCTTTCCAATAATCCTTCTAGATATTTTGTTTGAATATATGTTTGTTCATGGCTTTTAACAAATTCATTAACGGACAATATAATATTATCTATAAGAGCTTCTGAAGATGGAAATTCTGACAGCAGGATACCATCTAAGTATTTACAGTATAAGTTTAGCTGCATTTGTCCAGATATTTTTAGTAAAGGGGGCTTTGAGAGTGTCATCACAGATGACAGAAAAATTCTTGCTTCATCATTTTTCTAAAAAAAAAAATAATTATCAAGTATATTATGCTTTATATGAACCTGCATTGCAAAATTACTGAATGATCGAAATGAATTACAGTGGTACTTGCGAGCAAAAAAGAGAAAAAATGTTAATGACAAGATGAAAATATTAAACATTTCATCAGTTGCAACAATGATTTTCTTGCTAGAGAACTATTTTATGATAATAAATTATTTTATAGTTAGTCATTTTAACTATATATCAATATTAAATGTGTAGTAAGGATTTACCCATGCAAATATATAAAGGATTATAGTAATGTTTGAAGTTTTAACTATGTATACAATAATAGTGATTGAACAGTTATATATGTTGAGTGAGTTTGTTGAGTATTATTTACTTTCATGACTATGGATCTAAAGAAAAGGGTCATGTCTCTTGAATTAAAAAAAAAATTATTAAGAAATATGAGGATGGCAAAGATGTACTAGTGTAACATCATAGATAAGTACTGTTTTGAAACAAAAGGAGTCGATAAAGAGTATAACTTCAGCTAAAAGCGTTACAATAATTTATAAGCATCTTTCTGAGTTCTAAAAGTTTGTGGATAAAAATCATTCCAAAAAAGTTGCAACAGTTCGAGCATGAACGTGGTTGAATTAAACATGTCCAACTCATTTCGGCAATATCAAAAATGGGCAAGAAGAAATAATGATTAAGGTTATAAATGATGAATTTATTTTTAGTATTCAAAAACTTAAGTAAAATCACAGTTCTTGAACAAATTGATGTCATTTCAATATATTTTGATATGAACAATTCAACATATAAGCTGGTTATAGAACAAATTAAACTCGTATGTCAGGGCACCACAATATTCATGTCAAATGATTTTCATTCAGTAATATACTAATAAAATACATATACTTACAACAGTTTTGAAGTAGTTGGAAAGTACAATATTCGCTTTTAGATAGTTATTAACATAACTTTGGTTTAATTGCAGTTTATCTCCAAAAATCCTAGTCGCTTTAAGAACGTCATCGGCATTGACTCGATTTTTCAAATCTTCATCACTCAAAGCTTGGCTTAATTGAACTAACCAATTAATACGTATTCTGGAATCGTAGTCTTGAATATTCTTCGACTTTTCACTAATGAATTGATTGAAAGTGCCATTTCTTATTATAATGTTAATATCGCTTGTATCCGACATGATCTGAGTAATTCGGAAAAATTATATGTAAAAAATAAAGCTCTAACATTAATTTACTAACTGAAACGTTGTACTCCAACTGTCACAATTCAGATTGTGAATTTCTGTTGAACTGATTCTGCGTATGTCAGAACTGCCGAACTTAAAAGCATAGATGCAAAAGACCGGAAAAGAGTGACATGGTTTGCAAGAGAACTTGCGAGAAGTTAGCTGAATTACTATGGAATGAACTTAGCACTAGAAGAAAATTCAGTCTCATCTCTCATATGTCAAAAAAGGTTGTCTATGGAGTCGGTGAAATTGTTTACATGGAAGATTGTTGTGAAAAAAAGTAAAAAGACTTCATTAACGTCATAATAAGTTTTTAAGAGATATAAAAGTTGTCAAATTAAAATTATATTACCATGGCTGTTCGAACGTACGGCGATAAGCCCGTCAGTTTTCAAGTAGAAGAAAATGGAGAATATTACTTTATTGGCTCAGAGGTGCATATTTATATTTCTTCAATCCTTATAATTCTTTATCTTATACAATTATGATTTATCTAAAATAGGTCGGCAACTACTTGCGTCTCTTCAGGGGCTCTCTGTATAAGAAGTACCCTGGTATGGTCAGGCGCAATTTGACAAATGAAGAACGTAAACGATTAGTCGATGCTGGTCTCACACAGCATGTTTTGGCATCATCAGTATCTTTATTAAGGGCTTCTGAAGTTGAAGACATTATTGAAGGAAATGACGACAAGTATAATAGACTATTTTGTTAAAATAATTAATTAGTTAAATAGTTCTTTTATAGGCTGAATAGATATTTTCGATATCTATATATTATTCAAACATAGCATAGCTCCATCTCAAAATGTTTAAAAGTTACAAGCATTTAAAAGTTTTGAATGTCAGAATACAAACAATTTTTAGTGGATATCCCACAAACGGTGAGAGATTTCTTAAAAATTCTTGCAGTGGATTTTATTTATTTTGATTGGCAAAATTTCATCCAAAAACATCAAAGTTCTGTGATGAAACATTCAAAAGTTACAAGCATTTAAATATTTCTTATATAAAAAATGATCAAAATTGCACATAAGAAGCTTTAAACAGAAGTAGGTGAATTGTCACTTAGCCAAGAATAAGGACAAAAAAAATGCCTTTCAATATTCCTAACAGCTGATTAATAAATTGCAAAACACTGAAAATGTAACATGACTCTAGGGTCATATTTCATTTATTTATATTTTGAAAAATTCGAGAAGCTGGAAATTATACAGGATGCTCCCTATGACATTAGAAAGCTGCTGTAAAAATATTACAAATGTAGTTCAAAATTTAAAAAATGTGAATATTTGAAAATGGTTTTAAAAAAAAAAGCTAATATCTCAAGAACTGTAGAAGATAGCTTGAAAATTCTTTCACTGATGGATAAATATTTTGAACACCTATGTTTCATCTGTTTTTAAAAGTTACAATTTTGATAATTAGTCCAAGACTATAAATGCCTTACATTGATAAAGATATTCATTATATTTTATTTTAAATTTCTTTCAACTTTAGATACAAAGCAGTATCAGTGCATACATCTGAGCCCCCTGCTCCTCGAGAGAGTAAATCTAAAAAAGCTGCCCCTTGGGTACCGTCTTTGCCAAATTCAAGTCACTTAGATGCTGTACCCCAAGCAACACCTATAAACAGGAATAGAGTTAACACCAAAAAGGTATTAACTATTACCTAAATATTCAAAAAAAACAAAGCTGAAGCTAAATTATTACTTTTTAATTTTAGATTCGAACATTTCCTTTATGTTTTGATGATCTGGACCCCTCAGTAAATATAGAAAATGCTTCACAATCAGAAGTTCTTGTTCCAATCCGTTTGGACATGGAATTGGAAGGTCAAAAGCTCAGGGATACATTCACATGGAACAAACACGGTTAATATAAAATAATAATAAACGCGTCATGAAGTATATTTTATAATTTTTGAATTTTATATTTTAGAGAGCATAATAACTCCAGAACAATTTGCTGAAGTACTGTGTGATGATTTAGATTTGAATCCTTTAACGTTTGTTCCTGCAGTATCTGCAGCTATTCGACAACAAGTTGAAGCTTTTCCAAACGATTCAACAATTTTAGAAGAAGGTTCTGATCAACGTGTTGTTATTAAACTTAATATACATGTTGGAAATACTTCATTAGTTGATCAAGTACGTAATTGTAGACAATGTCTTTTAATGAATCATTACTACTTATATTTATTTTGTAGGTTGAATGGGACATGTCTGAGAAGGAAAACAATCCAGAAGACTTTGCTATGAAATTATGTGCCGAACTAGGATTAGGAGGAGAATTTGTTACAGCTATTTCATATAGTGTAAGGGGACAACTTTCTTGGCATCAAAGGACTTATGCTTTTAGCGAAGCACCCCTTCCACTGGTAGAGGTACTGTTGCAAACAACAGAGCCAATAATAATCCCAATGCCTCACTTACTTGATGGAAATATAAATATTTCTTCTCCTCACAGGTGCCGTTCCGGCCTCCTAGTGAAGCTGATTCATGGGCTCCATTTTTGGAAACTCTAACAGATGCAGAAATGGAAAAGAAGATTCGAGACCAGGACAGAAATACCAGACGAATGAGAAGATTGGCAAATACTACACCTGGATGGTAGATGGAAGATTAATGTAATAATAATTTTAATGGTTTATTTTTAATGATTGTATAATAAAAATAATTCTATATAAAGGGAATTTTTATTTGAATTTTTGATTGAAATAGAAATGGAAAAATAATGCTTGTTACTTAAACATAAAGAAAATGAATAAATAATTGTGGTTTGCACTTTGATGTACTAAAAGTTCTTTGTATATTAAATTGTGATATTTTATTTCAAAGTGTAATAAATATAATAGTGTATAAAATAAATTTATAAATATTTGCGAAATGTTCTTCTTATAAGTATTAATAAAATTAGAGTTGCAAGTACTCGAAGCAGATTGTTTTAAAGCATTGCATTTTATTTATTTTATCATGCTTAAACCTTTGCATTTCACTTAATACTGTGAAAAGTATTCTCGATTCTTTAGTAATTGTTATTCAAATTTCTTCCAAATCTAATTCATCTTCAGGATAATCTCCCACATCCACATGTGCCGGTTTAACAAAACCACCATATTTCATTGCACATTCAAAATATCTCTTTCCATTAAAAGAGCCATCATTTTTCCCCAGCGGCTCATCATATTTCACTCCAACAAATATGCCATCTAGTCCCTCAACTTCTCCTTTATACATAACCGTGCCCTTTCTTGATGGATGCCCTTTGACTTGCACCAGACACCTGCCTCCAATATTTATTGTTTTAAGTTTTTCTTCTAGTGCTAATTCTTTAGCCTTAGATTGTTCTTCAAGTTCTTTCTGCCGATTTTCATCATATTTACCTAGTTTATTGTTTTTGAGAAAACTATGGACAGTATCTGATCTTTTAGTGTATTCCTCTTTAGATAATTCAAATTTCTCCACGTTTTCTACAATGTATGAAGCGTCTGATATCACATGAATTAACATACCATTTTCTATGGGATAAGATCCTAATAATGCATTATCATTATCGAGAAGACATACTAGATCATCTTTTCTCTTTAGTAATTGTAAAATCATATTGTTAGCTGTGCCTCCTGTTATCATTTCTAGTTTTGATTTGAAATCGGAAATTGTGATTGATTTGGGGAATCTCTTTTGCATGCAAACGATGTCATTTAAGGAGTTTGTGATGTCGACTTCGACGAAATCTGAAGTTACTACTTGCACCGACATGGTAGAGGGCACAATTTAAGTTATTATTGCAATAAAATAAATGCGAATGAAATTATAATTCAATTTTTTGTACTTCAGAGTGAAACAAAGAAAGTTAAACCACATGTAACAATTTGAGTCACGAAATGTCAATGAATCATGGTTATAATTTTATTCTAGAATCACTTTCAACACATTTTTTCATTGACTAGACACAATATCGTATTTTATTGTATTTATTAACACTTTTTTAACATTGTTATTAACACTGAAAAAAATATTAATATTTAAAACACAATTCCAACTAAAATCTCTATTTGAATCTTGGTATGAATTTGATTGAAGTGACAGAAATTATCCGCCATGTTGTTTGAGCTGTCAAACGGAAAATACCAGGGGCGCACTTTGAACAAATTCAAATATTTTAAATAAATATGTAATTTTTTTTAAATGCCCGACAAATACATTATTATAATAATTTTAGTTACTCAGGTGTTACTAATATACGTAGTTTTATTTTTAGAATACACTTTGACTAATAACTAAAAAAATAAATAAATAAATTTTATTTTATATTACGTACTTCTAATAAAACTACTAATTAATAGTAATATGTAGTAAAATAAGTGCCTTAAATTATAAACAAACCTAAATGTGATAGTAATACGGACTAATACTGCTTTTAAAACTACTAATTCAGTACTAAGAATCAAACGACATGATTGTATACACTTTTACTCTACTATTAAAATTACTAATAAATATCAAAAACATGAATAATATAAAATAATAGACGTATAGATATTCTTTAGATACTAAAATTAGATACTAAATTTTGCAACTACAGCATATATTCTGCTTATTCAGTATTCTTTTCAATATTTACTAGCTCAATTACAATAATATTAACGTCAAAATAACATATCACTCACCAAACCCTATAAAAGTATACCAAATCAATAATATGCATTTTTTATTTAAATCATTATTCACAATATTTACCCCTAGCATTTCAGCAGACGGCCCTGCAAAGACGAACGAAATTTCATTCCGGGATGTGACTGTTCCCCTGGCAGAATGAATCGATTTAGTACGAAAAATGTTCCACGAAAACGTCAAACCATATAAAAGCGTCTCGAAGTATTAGGAGCGCAGACGCATTTTAAAATTGAAATCCCCGCGCTAGTATTGTACAGGGCCGTCTGGTAAAATGTTTATTTTAGAATATTTATTTAAATTAAGAATAGCATTTATTGTTTTGGGACATTTTGTCAAGATTTGGTTATTTGAATGTTATTTTATAATAATATCATAGTAGATGAGCTTTTAGATATTAAAAAGAATAGTGAATATGCAAAATATATAAAAAAATGTTTTTTTTGGAATAAAAATTAACATTTGAGTGTAGCTGTGAATTATACTTTGCTAAAAGCAACCTGAAAGATTCAAAAAAATGCACATAAATTTTATAATGAAAGATTAATTAAATTATTCATACTTTTATTCATACAATTACAAAATATTACAAATGTATATTAATATATATGTATGTGACATTAAATATGAAAAAATAATACAACCTAAATTTAATTTAATATGTAAGTTGTCCTAAACATAAGGTACATTTGAGATAAAGCATTTTTTTTCTTAATATTATATCATAATATGCTGTATTAATGCAATTGTAATACATCTATTAAATACATATTATCGCTATCATTCACATTCTTTTCTAAGATTCACTTAACTTAAATAAGCAATTTGAATACTTTTTTCATTGCTTTGATAGAAATATTTATCAATATTTTAACAAATTTGTAAGTATATAATATATAATAAATATATATTTAAATTACGTACAAAATAAAGCATAAAGGCATAGATAAAAGAAGAGTATAAAGGTATACAAATCTAACAAAAATAAATAAAGATTGTTTGTTTTTTAAATTATCTCAAAAATCAAGCTTATTTATCACTTCATTTAAAGTTTAAATTTTAGAACTATTTAATTGTATGTACAACTTTCCAGAATGTAATGGCACTTTTGATTTTAACAATATTAATAAATAAATATATTTACTATCTGTTACAGTTTAAATCTCAATAATGCACTCATAAGTTTTTAACAGTTTATAAAAAATCTATAATAGATAACTTAGTGCGTTATCTGTAGTAAAACTAGTCTTTAAACATTTACAAAGCATTTGCATTTCTTCTCAAAATTTCTTCTCAAAAGTACGAAGAACTCCTTTTGCACTTCATTATAATATTTATTGCCCAATATTACATCTTCCTTATTAGTCCTGTCGTTTCCTCTACAAGCTGTAACCAAATTGTTTCCAATCGACTTTATCAATAAATGTTTTCTTTATGAAAGATCCAGTTTTCATTCAAGATGGTCCACGACAGGGGCTCATGAATTCTTGTAGTCTCCTTCAATGGAAAAAACTGAGTAGTAATAATGAATAATAAATTTTAACAACATCAATTAAATAAATAAGAATATTGTTTGGTGAAATATACACAATGTCGATAGTTATTGATAAACATTTAAAACAATTATTTATAATTTACCTATGAGACCTATGTTAGCTGGAGTTTGATATCGAAGAATCATCATCTATTGGTAAGTCTAACTTTAGTTTTCCTATTATAGGTGCTCGTTTCATCAGTAGTCGCTGCATTCAAAGGAATTCTGGAGTACATTTTCTGTCTCAACAAAAAAAAGTAAAACATTAATAAATATTATAAGAATTTAATAGAAATGTTCATATTAATACACAAAACATTTATTCTTTTTAGTTTAAGGGTTGCAATCGAAGGTGCTAAAAAATAATCTATACATTTAATTTTGTCTGGGTAAAAATTTGATCTAAATTATTTTGTTTTGAAAAGTATACTTTTCATATAATATATATATATATATATATATATATATTATGTTATATTGTTACCTTCAAGACGTGAAGAATTTAATTTAATTTAAATTTTAAACGTATTTCTAATTCTTAAACATAAATATATATATTTATATATATATATATATATATATATATATATATATATATATATTTATGTTTAAGTATAGTATAATTTAATTAGATTAAAAGGCAGTAATAATTGGGATTTTTCATAATCGATATATAGATTTTTGGCAAAATGCTTGAAAGCAAATGTGGAACCAAAAAATAAATAATATGTAAGAATTTTTGGAAAAAGAAATACGTTTAAAATTTAAATTAAATTAAATTCTTCACGTCTTGAAGGTTTCTGAACATTTGGGCATACCTTGGAAAAAATGGATGTGTGTGTGTATGTATGGATACAATTTTTCGTCCGCGCACAGATCAACCGATTTGAATGGTTTAAAAAACATTCGATTCCTATTAATAGGGAGATGTGCTGATTAGTTTTTGGCAAAGGAAGGTCCAGCCGTTACGGAGATATGGAGCAAAGAGTGCAGAAAATAGAAATCGAGTTTTTGAGAGATCGAAGTTATTTATTGGTGTTTAGTTTTTGGCAAAGACAGGTCCAGCCGTTTTGGAGATACCGAGCTAAATGTGCAAAAAATGGCTGTTTTTTAGAGAATTAAGCACCCGATTTGAATGACTCAAAAAACTTTCTGCTTGTTTTGACAAAATAATTGCTTTTCGAAAAAAAAAATTTTTTTTGACTGTGTGAAACAGTGATTTGTTGGTATGTATTTTAATCATTTATTAACATATTCCTATTGATAGGGAGATGTGCTGAATAATTGTTTAGTAGCTTTTGGCAAAGGCATATCCAGCCGTTTCGGAGATACGGAGCAAAGAGTGCAGTATATAGAAATCGAGTTTTTGAGAGATCGGAGTTCTTTGGTGTTTAGTTTTTGGCAAAGGCATATAAAATAATAATTTATTATTTATGGATTTAAAAAAAACTCAAGACAAAAGTAGAATATAATTTAATATATTCATGATGAAATCTATAATAACATTAAAAACTAGTTGGTTTGGTATTTAGCGTTGAGGCAAGTTACATGAACTTCTCAATATGTGTGAATAATCGACTTAATCAATAAAAAATAAATTAATTTATGAGTGATTAAAAGTGGATAAGAGTGGATTTATTACACATAATTGAACACAAACGCACACTTTGACTCGGAGTATGTTCTAAAAGCAAAATTTCAAAAATCAACAATTATTATAATTGAGCCACATTGATATATATCGCCAAAAAAGTTCCATAAAAATCGGCTACAAGTTTTGTTTCAACAGTTAATTACAAGAAAACGGCTCGGTAGATTTTTACCTAAAACTAATCAGTATCATTCCCAACTAATATCTTCCGAACAGTTTTTGATTTTTTAAAATCGGTTCGGTAGGATGAGCTTAAATGTGGACGAAAAGTTTAACACTTTTTTCCAAATTTCAAAGAAACGGCTAGGCCGATCGTCGCACAAAACTGAGAAACGATAATCCTCATCGAGATACGTCAAATGGGTTTTAAATTTTTGATATCGGTTCAGGCGTTTTTGAGCAAACGTCGATGAAAGTTCTAATTTTGACAATGCCAAAAAGATCATATACATACTAATTTTTGCAAAATTTGACGAATTTTTAAAGCTAAACGATAGTTGTCGTAAGGCCGTAATATTTTAGTATGATCTAGAAGACTATGGTATCAACCGCCAAAAAAATAATCATAAAAATCGTCGAATTTTTTTTTTTAACTTTATTACAAGAAAACGGCCCGGCCGATCTCTACCAAAAACGAATCAGTACGATTCCCAATCAATATCTTTCGAACGGTTTTTGAATTTTCAAAATCGATTCAGAACTGCGGGCTAAAACGTGGACGAAAAATTTTTCACTTTTCTGCTATTTATAAAGAAACGGCTTGGCTGATCGTCGCACAAAACAAGAGTCCTCATCGAGATACGTCGAATAACTTTTAAATTTTTGAAATCGGTCTAACCGTTTTTGAGAAAACGTCGATTTACGGCAAAAAATCTGTTCACACACACACACATACTTTTTCCAAATTTGGTCTCATTCGATCCAGAATGGCTACTTCGGGAAGTTAAAAAGTAAACAAGCAATGTCAATACGAGTAAATACATATACTCTTATTTTATCTATGAGTAAATAAATAATGTAAATCATAATGTAAATCTATGAGGACAAGTAATGAATAGATAAATAAGCATAAATGATATGAATAGGTTAATAAGTTTGAACTTATCAACAAGTGGATGATAATGTCTATCATAGATAAAGTAAACATTGTCCCTAGACATGTCCTTTGTCCCTGGACAATATAATAATCTCGCAAGAGTGCGAATGTTGGTACGTCATATTTTTTGGCAGTTTCTTTTCTGAACTAAATATATCATAGGGAACAATCTAACAAATAATTTGTTACAAACTAGTGAAATTTAGGAGAATTTTATAAAAATGCAAAATATTAACGAGGAATTAAAACAAGCAGTCAATAAAGATGACTTAGAAAAGGTTAAAGCTCTTTTGTCTGCAGGTGCTAATGCTAACCTTAGAATAGGACATCATAGAGAAACATTACTTCATAATGCTGCTCGTAGTATAGAAATGGTTAAAGTGCTTGTATTGGGTGGTGCTGATGTTGATGCAAGAACCATGTATAATGAAACTCCACTACATTTTGCAGCAAAGAGGTTGAACTTAAAATTAATCAGAGGGCTTCTGAAATACGGTGCTGAAGTAAATGCACTAGGCAGTTACAGACATACTGCACTGAACCATGTTGCAAAAAGACAAAGTAATGTAGATCCGGAAATAGTTAAAGAACTATTAAAATATGGAGCTGATATTAATATAGAAAATCATGAACGACGGAGCTATGATGAGAATCCAACATATAGATCACCATTAGATAACGCTGTATTAGGTAACCTAGAATGCGCTAAATTATTGATTAAATTTACTTTAATACGGAACATCAACAAGGATTACCAAAAAATCATTAACTTATCTCCTTATAAAAGATACAGTAATTACAGTGCGCTAACAAGTTATCTAGATGACTGTGTTTCTGAAATACTTCAAATGAAAACAGATGTAATAGAAGATGGCATTCCACTATATGAATTAGTTGCAAATAACTCTAACATACATGTACGATATAATAATCAATTATCTGTAAAACTATCAAAAATTGATTATTCCTTGCGCTATCCAATATATAATGATGTCATATCAGAAAAGTTAAAACTGTTTGCGGAAAGAATAGATTTGTTAAATAAGTTAAGTACAATACAATTTTATACTATATTAGATGTGGCTGATCAAGATGCCAAAAAAAGGAAAATTATTCTGGACCAAGATTCTACATACCATGTAACTAAATTTCTATCCAATGATAGCTTGTCAAACTTTATAGTAGCGTTTGATGATTCCAATAAATGTACATTTCAATCCTTAAGTTCCTCAGATAATCTCGAAGAGAATGAAACTTCTATGAGTAGTGATGCCAAACGTGCAAAATTAGATCATTTTTGAACTAGAAGTAGAGTTTAGAACTAGAGTTTTTTATTAATGGATGCTTCCAGAGAGGTGATATGAGAGATTGCTATAATGCCTATATTGTATATCCTATAATGATTGTTTTAATAACAATAAAATACAAATTTCAAAAATAAATATCTTATTAACTGTTAGAAACAATTTATTTAATCAAAAAGAAATTATATTTTGTATTGTTTCATGCATCAATAAAGTATATTTATACATTAAATGTAGTATTTATTTCATTTATATAGAACTGAAATAGCTGTTCCGAAGGGGTTAATAAAAATATAAATATCTAACACATTTCCCACACCCAAAACCAAATTTTGTGAAAGCTTTTTGTATTGAAATTGCAGGTTTAGAAGATATTCACTCAATAATAAATGATTACCAAAAGATGCCATTTTATTTTTTCTACCATTAACGTAAACTTATAGGGGTTTATAAAGTAGATAAATAATTTCTATCAGGTTCTTACACATCAAAAAAGGAATTTATTAGAGAATATAAAGAGCTCAGCTGCAGAAAAACAAAAGACAGAAAAGCACAGAACTTGAATGGGGAATATAAGTTGGTATAGAATGGTAACGAGTCTTAGAATATTAGTTTTAGTTCCAATAATATATTTATATTTAGTCGTAACGCATTTAATATTCACCAAGTAAAAGTTAAGTTTATATTATTTAAATGTTTATGTGCTAGTGAATGTATGAGGAATGATACTGAAATTATTGAAAAAGGTATTGTAACATGTGAATTCTTCCTATGTGCTTTACCTCAATTCATATCAATAAACTATAATAAAGTAAGACTTTCCAGAAAAAGATTGGAAATTGCACAAGTAAAATATGCAAATTAACATGTGGAGTACCATAAGGATCAGTCCTTGTTATACCTTGTTTTTACGATCAACTCGAAAGATGCAAAGTTAAAGGGACGATATATACTATACACAGACCCAGACGATACAGTGATAGTATATGCTAACAAAGACCAATATAGATACATACTCAAATTGGCTAATTAAGAACAAATTAACTATTAATACAGAAAAAACAAAATGCATATATATTAAATCAAATAGAAGTCAAAAAAACTCATAATTAATCAAAAATTAACTTGGAGAGACCACATCAAAAGAATGAAAAAAAAGATACTTGCACTAACAGGAGCACTAAAGAGAATACAAACACTAAATTTCAATACTAAAAGCACACATAATGTCTGTAATCATGTATAGAATGGCAACATGAAGTCTAAAGTGAAAAATATAGAAAGCATTCAGCATGCTTATAAACATACGCATGAATACGGGAGATTATAGGGAATTTTTTTACTTTATTATTCCCTGAATGCCATAGATAAGTAATGCCACAATTACTAAAGAAGTTCAATATGTATAACAGATAAAATAAAATTATAAAAATAGAAAAGTGCAAATTAATACATAAGATTAAATATAACAAAATCAAAACATGCACATCCATAACTATAAATAAGGAAATACACGAGCACAATACTAGACAACAGAAAAATTTTCATCTAAAACAAACAAGAACAAATAAAACCAGGCAGTACACTATATGGAGTGCTATGAAATTATTCAATGGGCTTCCGAAAGAGATAAAGATAAAAATTAAGTCAAAAGAATGTTATAAAGCTGATCTAGATAAATAAATTAGACCAAAGTATAAATGTAAAAATTGATATACGTATGATTGAATTATATAATAAATGATATAAAATGTTGTAATGACCATATTATATATATATATATATATATATATATATATATATATATATATATATATATATATATAATATATATATATATATATATATATATATATATATATATGTGACATGTAGAAAATAATTATATACTTATTATTATTATATTATATTATATAGTATAGATATTTTATACGATCTCTCATACCAGACACTTCCGTCTGAGATGTATCAAATTTATATTCAAATTCAAATAAAAAAAAACTCGAGTAATAAGGTACATAATCAGCACTAAAAATTAAAAGAAACAGTTGAATTCTAATAGCTACTTCTTACATCAACTTGCAGGAATTTAAATCATGTGAAAATACCTTCATTGGAATAAAACTAAAGCAAAATAAACAACCAATAACAATAGAAGTAAGTTAAATAACTAATCTAATACACTTTTCATGTCATAAGTAAAACTAAAAACACTCTTAACTCCATGCTGTGAGGGCTTATTATGAATTGTACTGGGTGTGGAATAACAATGTTACATTTCATGAAATAATATTCTCCATTAATATACAAATTGTATAAGAATCTATTTAATAAACAACTGACAAGCAGATGACAGTTTTTATATACTCAGTATAATGACAATAATATTAGAATATTTGAAACTCCATCGAGTATGCCATGATCTAGAAAATACATAAACATTTTGTTACAAACTAGTAAAATTTAGTACCATTTTATAAAAATGCAAAATATTAACGAAGAATTAAAAGAAGCAGTATGGAAATATGACTTAGAAAAGGTTAAAGCTCTTCTGTCTGCAGGTGCTAATGCTAACATTAGAATAGGACAGGATAAAGTAACGTTACTTCATGATACTAATAGTTTAGAAGTTACTAAAGAGCTTTTATTGGCTGGTGCTGAAGTGAATGCAATAGACAAGTATAGCGAAACTCCACTACATACTGCTATAACAAGTGGGAAGAAATTAGAATTAGTCAGAGAGCTTTTGAAACATGGTGCTGCAGTAGATGCAACAAACCGTAAACGTAATACTCCACTGAACCTTGCTATAGTGAAAAGTTATACAAACCTAGAAATAATTAAAGAACTGTTAAAATATGGAGCTGATATTAATATAAAAAATCATGAACGACGGGATTATGATGACTTTCCAACAAATATATCACCATTAGATAATGCTGTAGGTAACCTAGAATGCGCTAAATTATTGATTAAATTTACTTTAGTGCGGAACTTCAACAAGTATTACAAAAAAATCATTAATTTATCTCCTTATAAAAGATACAGTAATTACAGTGCGCTAACAAGTTATCTAGATGACTGTGTTTGTGAAATACTTCAAATGAAAACAGATGTAATAGAAGATGGCCTTCCACTATATGAATTAGTTGCAAATAACTCTAACATACATGTTCGATATAATAATCAATTATCTGTAAGACTATCAAAAATTGATTATTCCATGCGCTATCCTGTATATAATGATGTCATATCAGAAAAGTTAAAACCGTTTGTGGAAAGAATAGATTTGTTAAATAAGTTAAGTAAAATACAATTTTATACTATATTAGATGTGGCTGATCAGGATGCCAAAAAAAGGAAAATTATTCTGGACCAAGATTCTACATACTATGTAACTAAATTTCTATCCAATGATAGCTTGTCAAACTTTATAGTAGCGTTTGATGATTCCAATGAACATTTCAATCTTCCTACAATAATCTTGTAGAGCCGAGTACAGGACTTTATGAAACTAATATAAGTAATGATGCCAAACGTGCAAGATTAGAATGAATACATTTTTTGTCAGTACTGGTTTTGATTAATGTATGGTTCCAGAAAGGTGATAGATGAGATATTTGATATAATACCTATATTGAATATCCTATATAATGATCGTTTCAATAAAAATAGAATATAAATTTGAACAATTAATTTTTATTTTAACCAATTAAAATTTAAAATTTTATTTATATATGTACTTGTCTCAATACAAAATTAAATACTTGATATTTATATGTTAAAAGTAGTATTTATTTTTTTGGGTAGAACAGAAATAGATGTTCCAAAGAGATTACTAAGCTTTTTGTTGTGAAATTGCAGGATTAGTAGATTAGTTCCCTCAAAAATATTTTATTATCAAAAGATGCTATTTTAATTTTTACCACATTAGGTAAACTTTGCTATTCCAATACTAGTGTACATATATCTTAGAGAACTTTTTTTCCATGCACGTGAACACAAACCAGTTTCTACAAAGTAGATAAACCGTTTCTAACAGATTCTTGTAGATCAAAAGAGGGATTTATTAGAGAATATAAAAAACTACTGCAGGAAAACAAAGGCTAAAAACTTTTTCAAAATCTCCTGGTTTAAACTGAAATTGAAGAGGCAACAAAAAATGGTAATATCTATAAGCAATGAGTCATAGAATATTCCTACATGTATACAGACATTATTGAAAAATGAAAAATGAAATGTTAAATGAAATAGTAGAAACTAGAAAAAGAAATAAAACTGAAGCAAAATAAACAACCAATAACAATGAGACTAAATAAAATAACTAATCTAATGCACTTTTTATGCAATAATAGTAATCCAAATAAAACTCTTACCTATATATTATAAGGAGACATATAATGAAACTGCACTGAGTCTATAATATTCATGATAAAGGGGCAACAAATTCACAAATTGTATAAGAGTCTTTTTCATAAAAAAAACTATATACATACAATTGAATATTCTACAATTATTATATTGTTTAGGAATATTCTATGTAGCTGTTGAAATGTAATTACTGAGGTTATTTTGACATTTCAAGTAGAAAGATGACAGTTTTGACATACTTACCTTGTGTCTGAATATTGGTACGTCGTAGTATTTTGACAGTTTCTTCCGTATGTTAGTTCAGAGTGATTTAAAACTCAGAATAAAAATTAAATTATTTATTTTTAAAATATATATAAATACTTCTGATAAAAACGTTTTATATACCTTAGAAATTCCTGTCCACCTGTCTTTTAATTCATTTCTCACATTTGATCCAAGATGACAGTTCTATAAATTTTATTGCCCTGTTATTGTTTATATTTGCAAAAACATCTAACAGACAGATCAAATAATCTTAGTAACACATTTTACACAAATGTCTAAACATAAGAGCAAAGATAAAAAGCATAAACACAGGAAAAAACATTGTAATTGAAAATTCTTTTAAAGTGTGCTTTTATATGATTCTATGATCTGTTCTTTTATTGTCTGTTACTTGTAGCAAAGCACAAGAAATCAAAAAAGAAATCCAAACATCATGATACTGAACGCCTCAATAAATCTCAATCAATTGTGAATAATAAACGAGAAAGAACTCAATCAGAAAGTTCAAATAGTTCATGTTCAAGTTCTGGTTCAAAGAAAGATGGTAAATTATCTAAGAAACGAATAAAAGTAGATGATGCAGATGATATGAGTGTTCCTATAGGTAATATAATATACTAAATATAAATATACTAAAGGATTGCATTAAATTGTTTTCAAAAATGGTTATCAATTTTGTTTTAGATTTAATGGCTTCCTCCAAAACAATGAGGCCCCAAACTCAAGACGAGTGGAAAGAAAAACAAAGCATAATAAAACATGTATTAGACCCAGAAACCGGACGCTACCGGTACTTGAAAATTTAACACAAATCAATGCAACATATATTAAATCACATTTTACTATTTCAGATTGATTAAAGGTGATGGAGAAGTTTTAGAAGAAATTGTGAGTAAAAGTCAACACAAAGAAATTAATAAAAAAGCAACTGCATTTGATGGAGAATATTTTGAATCAAAAACAGTTAAAAAATGAGACAAGAAATGAAAATTTGTCTAAATTCAAATGATGTAGATGTATATTGCATAGAATATATAGTATATTTTAATACATAATCCATATAATGTAATAAACACAATTTAGAGACAAAAGTGAGTAAATACATTGTGTTTACATTTTAACTTTATATGGATAGCTTACAACCTCATACCAGTTAAAAGAGGCAATCGATTATTAGTATGTCTATCAATAATTCATAAATATTAATTATGATTATGCTACTCAATTTATTAATCACTAAGCATAATGCAATCTTCGTTTTGATCATTGTGATCTTGTGGAGCAGTTTCAGTCCCACTTTCAGCTTCTTTAGCATATTTTGTTTCAGCGCGGTTTATAAAACTTGTTAATAGATTTACTCTTGATTTTGTACTAGGTGGCTTCTCTTCTTTTTTTATTTCAGCATTAGTTTTATTTTGTACATTTTCGCTTGAAGTTTTATTTGGGAATTTGGATCCAACAGGCACCGATACAAGAGCAACGCGCTTCTTAACTTCTGCAGCAGGCTTGAACTGCTTAGCCAACTCATCATTATCCAATACTTTTGTGAATTTTGAAATGTTCAAGTTTGTTTTATCAATTTTTTTCTTGGTTGTTATAGGTGAATTTTCAGATAGGTTTTTTTCTAATTTTTTGTGTTTCAAACTATATTCCCACTGGTTGACCAGAGGCAAATCAGTAAGTTTGTGGTCTTGTCTATAATTTTCTGCAACAAACCAACATCTTCTAACTAATCCTGTATTGTCTTGCTGTACAGTTTTATACTTAGCAATTTCATGAATTTTTCTACCAATCGAAGATTTCGATATATCTTGTTTTTCGATGTTCTTCTTCACATATGTATAGAACTCCTTAATTAAAAATAATCTACTGTACTCATTACCGTGAATTAATCTGATTAAATCTGGTAGTAGATTATCTGGAAATTTAGTTAATTTACAACCAGGACCTGTGTGCACTGCATCACTATCAGCCGTTGAAGAATCCACTTCAGGTTTGAGCACTAGCGGCTTATCATAGATCATTGAATACTGATTCAACATGTTCCATATTGATTCGACGCATTTTTCAGGTTTAGAGCCATCTGCATTGGACCAAATGCATCCGTACAACCGGGGTTTAATTTTCTCAGTTTTCTTTTTCATTTCTTCGTTGAATTCGTTCTGGAGAAGTTTCAGTTTTACTTTCATATCTTCTGCTGAATTGCTCTCTATTTCTTCAGCATCATTCTGTTCTTCTTCACTGAGATATCCTGTAATAGACAAAAATATATTAAAAAGACATTGTTATTTGTTTTTTTGTTAAAATCAATAATTAATAGCCAATAAAAAATTGTAGAATAAAATTTTAATCATTCTTCAGGAATAGATAAAGTAAGAAAGTAAGTATATAAACATAAAACTTACCATGAGGAACAAAGAAATCATTATCAACCTCATAGTCATCTTCAGATTCATCTTTCTCTTTTTCATCATCAGATCCATGTAAACTCTCACCAGGTTCTTCTTCTTCCCATTCACTATCAGAATCCACTTCATAATCCAAAATCTACAACAAATTATTTATACATTTAAAAAAATATATAGAAACTCCATTGCACTTGGTTTGAATTTGAATTGGAAATTTACCTTATCTCTACCGAATGGAGCTCTGGGTTTCACATGGTCACTGAATTTTGTCCAAGTGCCCCAATACGGAGGTCTTCGATTTTCGTGAAACTGCAACAACTTAGGTCTACTATGTTGTTGTTTTGGAGTATCGCTCTCCACTATTGCTTCTCCTTCTTCTACAATATAATACAAAATATTATATAAATCCAGGACAAAAATATTATTTGAAGAATAATTAAATTAGTATAACACTTATTATTTATTTTATTTGCATTAGACCTCACAATTGGTAAAAGAATAGTTATATTTTCATTAAAATTTATAAACCAACATTCTAGCAAATTCCAGTATAAATGTTTTCATATTTCTACCAAAGAATTTTGGTAGAATTTTAATATTTTTACTATTATATGAAGATAAATACAAATATACACAATGTATTAAAATATTTTTTATGATATCTAAAAATAAAAGAGTACCTATGATAATTATATCTTTCTCAGAATTATTCCACGTTTTTGAAGATCTACCCTTTTTATAATTAGGATCCTTTATGGCGGTTATATATAAAGTAGGTTCCTCCACAGATGAATTGATAATAGCATCCAATCTGTAAATAATCAACAATATATATATATATATATATATATATATATATATATAAAGCGAGAGGTTTTTCTTCAGATGGTGAAATAATATGATAAAATTGTTGCTTGGGCATCCATCCAGTAATTAAAAAACAGTTTTAATAAAAAATGTTTTTATTTAGAGAAACATACGTTTCGGTTCTTGATTTGACCCATCTTCAGTGCTTATTTGTATGGAGAGCGCTATTTACATATATAGCATTGAAATTATAGTTATTTTGAAAATTCATGTTGTTAAAAATTAAAAAACACTTGTAAAAGTTCTTGAGTTTCATTAAAACTGTCTTTTAATTACTGGATGAATGCCCAAGAAACAATTTTATCATATTATTTCACCATCTGAAGCAAAACCTCTCGCTTTATATAATACAAGGGCTGAAAAATTGGACAATTTCAACATGAAATATTCAAGATTTTTTGTCTTTCTCAAGACACTGATTTTCAAATATTCTACAAGTTTCAAGACTCAACAAATTTCCTCAAGATTTTTTGCAAGCATACATATCAAGACTTTCTTGTTAATACACTCATAACCAATACTACACTGAAGTTACAAATCCAAGATTTTGATCATTTTCAAGAACTTTTACAAGTGTTTTTCAATTTTTAACAACATGAATTTTCAAAATAACTATAATTTCAATGCTATATATGTAAATAGCGCTCTCCATACAAATAAGAACTGAAGATGGGTCAAATCAAGACCCGAAACGTATGTTTCTCTAATTAAAAACATTTTTCATTAAAACTGTTTTTTAATTACTGGATGGATGCCCAAAAAACAATTTTATCATATATATATATATATATATATATATATATATATATATATATTTAATTTATTCATAAGCAAGCCAAAATCAAATAAATTAAATATTATTCCAGGTAAAAAAATTACTCAAGTAATTTCATAATTCAGTCTCTGGTCATAAAGTTTTCCATCACAAAGTTTTTTCAATATCCGGTCTAAATTTCATGCGCAAGGTTGAAATTTTTTACTTATTTATATCCTTCAAAGTCATTATAATAATAATAAGAAACCAGCAAAATTGATTGACCTTTATAAGATTAAATACTTTATACATCTTTATATACACTTTGTGATAAAAATTTGTGTTTAATTGAAGTAAACTTTTCTGTGTGAAAGAAATCTTACCTTGCTTTGCTATCCTCGTTCAAAATCAACCTATTAACAGGTGCTAATTTCATATCAACTTTCAAACAAAACGGCATAAAATTATTCTGTTCTTTTTCAGTAACCTTTTCATCAGTTTTAGATTCAACAATGCTATCTTCGACAACTTTCTTTTGAAAGAAGTTAGCAAATGCAGCAGCAGCTTTTCTCTGTTTTTGTTCTGCTTCCTCCTTTTCTAACTCTTTCTTTTTCCTTTCTTCCTCTTTAAGCTCCTCTTTCTTTCGCTTATCTTCTTCTTTCAGTCTCCTTTCTTCATTTTTTAACTCAATTTCTGAGAGACGCTTTTTTTCACGTTCTTCTTTTTCCAGCCTTTTTTGTCTTTCTTTGTCTTCCTTCTCTTTGCGGCGCTGCTCTTCTTTTTGCTCTTTCTCTTTCTTTTTGCGTTCTTCATTCTCAAGTTTTTGTTTTAGACGTAGTTCTTTTTCTTCTTGTTTTAATCTTTTTTGTTCCTGGCGAGCTTTATCTTTCTCTTCCTTCTTCTTTGCTGATTCTTGCTGCCTCTGTAACTAGATAAAAGTTAACTTTATTGCAACGATCACTCATAACAAACATCAATCACAACAAATAGTCATAAATTTAACTTATGGATCGCAAATTGAAAAAATAAATAATATAGGTGTTATTTTGGATCTCATTTGAACTGAAAGTATTTTGACATATCTTATCCTTAATAATTATGAGTCATTTACATCACTTACTTGTTTTGAAGATTTTTTAGTTTGAGTAGGTGTATTTACTGATGTTTCATTCGTTTTTTCACCCTTAGTATCATCTTCATCATTTTTAGCATCAACAATTGAATTATCTAACTTCTGAGAAGAATCAGATTCATCTTTTGACTCACTACTGTCCTCACTTATTTCATCTATACATATCACAGATTCGGTTTTAGATTTATTACTACTACTATCATTGTTTGAATCTTCATGTTCAGCCTTATCCTTCGCTTTTTGAATAAGTTCGTCGACATTGTCAACTATACGAACCACAGGGTTAATTAAAGATTTGTCCTTTTCTACAGCACCGTTACTATCGTCTTCAATAATTTCAACATCTGCACTATTAGCAATATTCTCTTTTACAAAGACTTTTTTTATCACTTCCTCCTCCTCTTGGCCGGCATTGGATAATTTACGTTTTTTGGCAATTGACCCTTTATCAACGCCTGTTGAATGTGGACTTAGGGTTTTGAATGGAAGACGGGCTTGCACTAACTTTTTATCCGAAGCTTTATCTTTCATTGTATTAATGATGTTAAAAACAAATTAAGTAACACATTAAGATTACTAATAATATGAAAAAAAAAACTGGGTAATAATTAAATAAAAGCAAAAAAATAATTTACGACAGAACAGCAACGAGGAACTGTCAATAATAAAACAAATCGCGGGAAAACGATGAAAATGCAGTACTGACACCTTAACAACATTTGACCAGAGAATTAACCCGTTAGGTGGGAAAATTCAAAACTGGTTTCAAAATTACAAATTTGTCTAAATTTTCCATTTAGACAAAATAACTAAAGATTCGTTAAATTAAGAAAAAGAAAACTTCTCATTTCATCATTACATCAAAGTTGGTAAATAAAACAGTACATGTATATCAAAGTTTGTGTTGAAATATTAAAATTTGATAGAGTATCAAACTACAAACACTGCATTCTTCAAATGTTTAGGAAATGTTTGTTATTATTATATTGCATTTAAAATACTTGTCATGACAAATATTATAACATAAAACATTAGCAAAATACCAAATTAAATTAAATAAAAATACATTCCATTCTTTATTATTACATTTATTACATTTTGTCTATTTTATATTGTCATATGTAACAATAAAACAATACTGCCAAAGTCAAGAAATTTTTCTTCCAGGTAGTCATCAACTCTCACCAGTTAATTTTTCCCATATAAGCATCACCAAGCATATATTAGGTGTTACATGAACCAAATAAGGTACAAGGCCTTTGTAAAATCCTTTTACATGTTCATATTTCCATGTTATTTTTATACAATCCCAGGCTCCCTTGTAACTCTGATTGTGGTCCTGTAATCTGGCTCTTATGACTTGATAAGGATAGGTTGTAGCGGCGGCTATAAGCTTTGAAATGGCTGCAAAGATAATGTACTCTCCGGAACTCTGGAATAAAGTATATGAATTGTTACAAGTTGTCATATATATATATATATATATATATATATATATATATATTGGACACAAAACTTACCATTTTGGTATCTATTGGAACTTTCTTATACAAGTTATATCTCACTTTCATCTCTTCATAAGTCATAAATTGAATAGCCCCATGAGAGACACCAAACATTCCAGGTACAAATCCCTGACAAAAATAATTTTCATATAATATTTTCATATAATATTGACATATTGACTTCTATAACTCACTCTATAAAGGCCTCGAAATCCCTCTTTGGTATAAATCTGCTGTAAACCATCGAACATACCAGCATATTGCTTACTGTTCAAATTTCCATTATTATACTGCAAGCATAAGCGTGTTTTAACAACATAAATCGGATTTGTGATAGCCAATGATAAAGTTCCAGCTTGAGCAGCAATTATTAAATGTGCAGTCGGACTTAAAGGAACAAGAGAATTTCCATCTTGAGAATATGTTTTGATAGTGTTGTAGCTGCAAGAAAAACAAATATAGTAACTTTGTATGTGGTGATGTTTATGGTGTGCCATTAGCATTACAATAAGAAGTATAATCCCCAAGAACTTCCAGACCCCCAAATATTGGGCGCAACACCCCTATAGAGCCCTCGCAAACCTTCCTGTTTGAATATTGTAGAAAAAGCTTCACCCAAACCATTGTATCGAGGAACTGATTTTGTTCTTCCATCGTTCACTACAATAAAAATTCAGTATTGGTAGTTTTATTGCATAAGGCTGTTTTGTATAATATATTCTTACCTGCAAATCGTATCTTTATCAAATCAAGTGGATGCAAAATAAGAGTTGATGTGACACCTCCAGAAATTCCGGCAAGAAGATGTTCGTATTTTACGTGTGTTAAAAAAGCGAGTTTGGATTTACTTCTTGCTCCAGTAGAACAAGAACTTTTAGTAGTCATTTTAATATGTTTTGTGTTAACAAATCTATTAAAAATTTCATAATTAACTAACTTAAATATTATATTATCTTTACTAATTATCCTATACAAAAAAGCTAGTATAAAATATACTGCTTAACCACATATTTCTCTTGAGATTGGAATACATCTTCACTTTTTTTCCGCAAAATTGCGACTTGTGACCTAATGCTATTAAAATGTGACACTAGAAGAAGTGTCAAATTCAAGACTGAAGTTGAAAACAATTACATGTATACCAACACATAAAAATATGGATGGTTGCGCAACAGTTATTATTCGCACGTTGCACACCGTGGAAATTCAAAATATTTTTGACAGCTTGAAGGTAAAACCAAATATAAAATGAACAATATTCATGGCAGGATTAATAAACTTTATATTTATATATAGAAAAAGTATGTTTACTTCGTAAACTAATGATAAGAATCAATGTTTATTAATTAATATCATATATAATACTTGTATGTGCTTATATAGTTGATTTCTAAAATGTGTTTTCATACCTGGATATTTCATAACGTTTTGCGTTAATTTAATGATTTAAATAACGTAAATTTCAGCTTTCGAAAACCGATATCTTTCTACCCATGTATTGAATATATAAATTTAACAAGAATTTTGATTAGTTCAACTTTTGTAATTAACCTAGAAATTTTATTTTTTTCAAAAACTATACTAATGTCGAGCTATTTAAAGACCTCTGCCCAACGCTGGGCTAGACTTGGAATATCATCCAAATTTCCTAGACAAATAAGTTCTACAGCTAGATGTCTAACAAATCACCCTGTACAAATTACCAATTTGAAAGATGGCCCAGGTTTACGTGACTTTATCAATGTCACTAGAAAAAATACAACACAGCTTAATGAAGAACTCAATATACCATACCTTGACGAGCCTATAAAAACATACGGTGAAAACAGAAAAGTATTTCTTGAAACTTATGGTTGCCAAATGAATGTAAACGATACAGAAGTAGTATGGTCTATACTAAAAAATAATGGATTTCAAAAAACAGATGAAATCAAATTGGCTGATGTAATATTAGTGGTAACCTGTGCCGTTAGAGAAGGTGCAGAAACTAAGGTATTTATGAGATACTCTTATATTAAAAAGGAATTATAAATAGCCTGTTGTTTTAATAGATATGGAACCGTATACAACATTTAGGTGCTATGAAGAAAAACAGGAGTCATAAAAGCCCTTTGCAAATTGGAATTCTTGGTTGCATGGCTGAACGTTTAAAAACACAATTATTAGAAAAAGAACAATGTATAGATATTGGTAAATAAAACTAAAATATATATGTATATATAAATTAAAGAAGATGTAATTAATGTTCTGGTTTGTATATAGTGGCTGGTCCTGATAGTTACAGAGATTTACCTCGGTTATTAGCTATAACAAGAAATGGACCTAGAGCTGCAAATGTTTTGCTTTCATTGGATGAGACTTATGCTGATATTATGCCCGTTCGCTTAAATGAAGGAGCAGTTTCAGCTTTTGTGTAATACTCCTACAAATTCAAACATGAATCTAATAATTTAATAATTAAGTTTAATAACAAATACAGGTCTATAATGAGAGGTTGTGATAACATGTGTTCATACTGTATAGTACCATTTACCAGAGGAAGGGAACGGTCACGAGACATAAGTTCTATTATTCAAGAAGTTCTTCATTTGCATGATACAGGCGTTAAAGAAATAACTTTATTAGGCACGTTTAATGCTAATTTATAAATTCCAGTAAGATAGATTTATTACATAACTATTCTATTTCCCCAGGACAAAATGTGAATAGTTACCGTGATTTAAGTTCTGGTCCATCCATGTTAAATGCGGATCAGACAACACATTTATCCAATCCAGGCTTTCGTACTGTGTACAAAAACAAAGTTGGAGGTCAGAGATTCGCTGATTTGCTCCACAAATTGGCTCATGAAGTTCCAGAAATGAGAATTAGGTTTACTTCGCCTCACCCAAAAGATTTCCCAGATGAGGTAATGATAATAAATAAATAACATGTGTATATATATATATATATATATATATATATATATATATATAGTTGTTTCAATAAGTCATAAATATACTATTTCATATAGGTTTTGCAAGTTATAAAGGAAAATAAAAATATCTGTAAATCTTTACATCTGCCTGCGCAGTCAGGAAGGTTAGTCTTTATCAAATTCAGTCTTCGAAATATATAATTTACCTAAAATCTTGATTATTCTCAGCTCCAAGGTGTTAGAAAGAATGCGAAGAGGATATACTAGAGAAGGTAACTTTTCTGAAATGAAAAAAATAAAAAACATTTACATATATTCGTTCATATTAAAAATAAATTATACTTAGCTTACCTGGAATTGGTTTCACACATAAGAAGTATCATACCTGATATTGCGCTAACGAGTGATTTTATCTGTGGTTTCTGTGGTGAAACTGAAGAGGATTTTCAAGAAACGCTCACGCTCATGAAGAATGTAAAATATCATGTGGCTTATCTATTCGCTTATAGCATGAGAGAGGTAAGCAATTTGTTAATATATTAATCACACTCAAGAATGAAAAATGAAATACTGTTATAGAAAACAACAGCTCATAGAAGATACACAGATGATGTTCCAGAGGAAATCAAAGCAAGACGTTTACGTGACATGATTAAAGTATATAGAGAAGATGCTGAAATACTTCTTAAGAAAGATATTGGAAAACATCAGCTCATACTGATAGAAGGGGTGATAATAACTTATGAATTTTATCAATATTTATATTTAAATCAAATGTACATAACATATATATATATATAAATTTCAGATTAGTAAAAGATCACCTAACGATTATTATGGTCGGAATGATCAAAATATTAAGGTTATAATTCCTAATAAATTGATACACCAGAGTAAAGAAGAATATATAAATCATAAACATGACATGTCATTAAGAGAAACAAAAATTGGAGATTTTGTTGCAGTCCAGATAAAAGAAGCCAATTCTCAAATATTGAAAGCAGTTCCTTTATATCATTCTACCATTAATCAGTTTTATTCTACGTAATATTCTATGAATAAATATTTATAATGTGATTTTATATAAAATATAGGATGTCAAATAGTGTACATAATAAAAATCTACTTTCAAATAACATATTCGTTTATATTCATAAGTATTATACTAAACTAGATGCACTTATGTTAGGCGATTGAGGTTTCATAGCATTATGCAACTTATTTAGCATTCTGCTTCGTATTTTCAAATCAGATTCAGCATTATTTGTTTGAATCGATACCGGTGCTTTATTATTCAAATGACTGAAAATCGGACTTGGTTTATCACAATCACTTTCATGTCGTTGATTGTATATTAAATTCTGCATTTTAATTCCGTTCACTATATTCGCTAATTTGTTACCATTAGCTTCGTACTCAAATTGGCCTGATAAGCTTGGAGACGGTCCTTGGGAGCTACCATAAATTTTTGTACTGTATCCAGAATCATTATGTGAATCTAATGGACTGTGATTCAGATCGATAATTCTATCAAGAGGACTATTTAATTGAAAATCATGAGAGTTTTGGTACACCCTGTTTGTGGACGCTCGTACATCAGATGAACCGATAGAAAATCTTTGGTCCATTTGTGATTGCAAATGTGATATTTCTAGGTCCAAGTTTGATAGCGACATAGTATGGGACGAGTTGTGGGGATGTCGATTATATAATGATTGGTGTTGAACGTTTTCTGTAGACAGTACGCGTCCAAAATTCCTTTGTTGACCCAAATACTCCAAACTTTCTTCATGGGAATTTAAATTTATATTTGAATTATATAAAGGATGTCTGCTGCGAGGGTTAATTGATGGATTGCATTGAGGTCTGATGCTGGTTTTTTGTATTTGTGCGTTTTGTATGTTTACTAAAGGATGTTGGAGCTGCACCGGTGGATAAACCTCAGGCTTCCTTGGCAAAGCCAAGGAAGGTTGCTCGTATGAAAAATGTGTTTCCATAAAATTCCGCCTTTTATTTGGCATTTCATGAAAGTACGCGTCTTTTGGAATAAGACTTTTGGAGTCAATAATATGCGCATTTTTTGTAGGCGGTACTATCGGTTTTACGTACAGATTACTCGGACAACTTGTAGTTGGTGCAATATTTTCATAAGTCTGGATACCATTTAAATCTGCACTTTCTTTACCATAACTTGTACTTGGCCGACAAATATCTTCACCATCTGCGAAAGGTTCCTTTTCTTTGTTCACTTCGTCGTGAATAATAGTTTGTGAACTGTATATATGTGATGGAGTAGCCGGGCTTTGTATAATTTTTTGTATATTTTTTTCAATCTGTGCTATATGAGTTGCTACTTTAATCTCAGGAGCTGATATTGTGGTATGTTCGCTCATTAAAGAGGGACTGCTTAATCTTGATGGTATACTGGATAAAGATGTATTTCCCACTCTATTAGGGCTTCCAAGTCTTGGAGGAATACTTAACTTAGGAGAATGAATTATTTCTGAATTTATTTTCAAAGGTGATGTATTTATCGGAGTAACAGCTCGCGAGAACAGATTAATTCTGGTTGGGCAACTCAATCCAAGAGAGTTGTTTATTCTTAAATTGGTTTTACTATAGTCAACAGCTCTTTCGTTAGGTTTTGAAATTACTGAAAGTGGTTGTCCAATTTTTATGTTACTCAACGAACCGTTTTTGTATTTAAGTTCACCGATGCTGTTGAGTTTATCATCAAAACCAGTTTTTAAAATACCACCTTTACCCAATATATTATTCTTCCAGTTGCTTTGTACAGAACTTTTACTAAATAATTCCTTCTTCAAAGTTGACAACTCAGCTTGCGACTTGCTTAAATCTATATGATTACTTTGTTTACTTTCAACAGCTTTAGCAATTTTTTGTTTACCCAAGTTGTAAATATTTTTCAAAATAGGTTTACGTTTCTTTTCCTCAATTTTAGCGCTCACGCTCTCATCTTTATCTATGCTATAATTATGCTTTCTTATAACAGTTGTAGCTTGTGACAAAAAACTAGAGTTAAAATTATCGGATGTCGATGGCTGGGGTAAATCTAGCTTAGCGTCTTCATCAGATTTAACTTCTATCCTATCAACATCAGAACTTATTGTAGATTCATTACTTCGTCCTGATTTTGATAATTGCTGATCGTTCCCAACATCTGTGGCATCAGTAGAATCTAAAACATCAATGCTCCTGGAAAGCTGGTCGTTGATTGTGCGTCCGTTGTTATCGGCGTGAACTTGGACGGTTGTCTGGACGCGGTCTAGGAGTTCTAAACTTTTCGACCTGGTCAGAGTCGATGATGCAGTTACTGGTGGTTTTCGGGAAATTGCTGCGCTCGCCCTGTGGCGGCCGCGAATCAGCCACTGCTCCAGGTGTAAGTGGCGCTCACTGCACTTTGCGCGCTCGGCCATCACTGATCTTGAGAGCTCGTTTATTCTAAATGTAAGTAAGATCGAATTAAATTTAAAACTAGAAAATGTAATGTGATTTATGGGGCGTCCATTAATCACGTGGAGGGAGGAGGATGGGAGGTATATAGTAAGATATCACGTGTATTTATATTTTACCTGAATTTTAAAAATAATCCAAACATTTTCAAAAAAATCAGTATTTTTACCTATTTTTCGTAATTAAAAATACGCCTGATGATTTTGGTGGGAAAGGGGGGTAATTTTAAATATCACCAAGAGGGAGGGTGATCCAAAAAATCGATCACGTGATTAATGTACGCCGTCTTATGAATTTAATTAACTAAACAAGCAAGTATTATGTTGGCAACTAAGTAAGTGCTTAGATGGTTTCAATTGAATTTTTAGGTTTACTGGCATAGTCCAAATGTAAAATACCTTCTGGTAATAGATAGTAGGCAGTTCACATATACATCCAAATTTTATATAACAACCTAATATTTATTTATATCTTTCGCGTTTCGATATTTGAGTCATTGCAACTGATTATTCAAGATATTAGAAGACCTTTATTTTTTCACTACATATAAATCTATACATATATACTCACGTATAAAATAAATAATACTTATGTGTATATATATATATATATATATATATATATAGGGTGAGGTTGCCTAAGTCGTACCCCCTAAAAGAATAATGCTATATTATTTAGTAACACATTAAACGCCACAGTGATTATATTAAATTAAGGTGATTATATTAAATAAGGCCATGATAATTTTATTAAATTTATAATTTAGTTAAAAACTTAGTGAATCAAAAAAAGCTAAAATTCCTGAGACATTTATATTATAACATTTTTAGAAGTTCAAGTCAATTTGCTAGACATAAAATAAGGTTGACATGGTTCATGTAGAATTTCGTAACATCAGACACATATATGACTGACATGGCAAATAACGTGTTAAATCAAGAAACAATCTTTGGCATTAATTCAATTTCTAGTTAGTTGGTTTATGATTAATAATTACTGAAACTTTAATTAATAAAATAGATATTTTAAGGTTTTTTATAAAGGTGCTTTCGGTACTATTAAGACAACATAGTAGTCTTAGTCGTACCACCTGTAGGTCGTACCTAATACTAAAAAACTATATAAACCTCATTCTGAGATTATTTTTTCCTTAGTTATTAGTTACCAAGTCGAATTTAATTATTAAAATAACACTTAAAATACAATAATTAACTCAAAAAGTAACAAGTAAACTTATAAAATTAGTAAGTTTCTGGGTTCTAAAAAGGGTATAAAAAAAATAACAGCCGTTACTGTTATACCTGTCTTGTATTTCAAAATTTGAGCAAAAACTTTGCAATATTGCATTTTACATTATTTCATCGTATTTATAAAAAAATCTATAAGACGCTTTTTTAAACCGGTACGAGTAAGATATTATGCACTTAAAATGCACGGTGTTTAAAGTTTGAAATTCAAACTTTTGACCTATTCTAAACAAATTCTAACATTCAAATAATTCTAATCAAACAATTGTCAAAAAGTAATATAAATAAACATAAGTAAGAAAAAATGTCAGGATAATATTCTTATAATAATAGGCTTATAATTGAGCCAAAAATATTAATACAAACTTTACAAAAAACTTATTTTTTAAAGAAAGTCATCGTCCAGTCTTCGAATCATAACGTTTGCTTATTTACTTAAATAGTTCTATTTTCTACGACTTAGGCAGTGGTACAACTTGAGCAATCTGTTCTCGTATATATTTGCAAAATAATTATAATAAATTAATACAGTTCTATGCACGTTCTAAGGAGTATTATGATTTTGGCGATGAGCTTAGATAGATTTAGACTAAAATATCTAAAATAAGTCTTAACACTTAAAGAACGGGCCAAATAGATTTATATTTTTAATTTTACATACATAATATTTAAATGCTTGAAAAGTACCAAACTATACTAAATACTATGAGGTATTAAAAAAAATTAATATAATTGATTTAATAATGTTATTTTGTAGTGACAATTATTTAAAGCATGTTTACTTAATTTTCCTGAAAAATTTCCCGGGTACTAGTAGAGACAGAACAGATCTGACCCGTACATTAAGTGTTGGAATCAAAATATATAATATTCTGAAATTCGTTCAAATGCCTTACCTTCCATCCGCCTTCTGAGCAAGTTGAGATACTCGATTATCCAAACGTTCAGTTCGTCGATTAATGTATCGTTTGAGGCTTTTTCTATTACTCGTCATACGATCCTCCAAATGTTTAAAGAATGGGGCACAGTAGCACGTGTGCCCCACACCGACAGGCCCCTTGCAAATGTTACCCGCCAAGTCCAGAAAATATTGTTCACCTTTTGCTAAAGGTTCCTTAAAAAGTAAAATACTCACTTAATAACTTTAAAAAAAACTTGCTAAACTTTAAAAAAGGACTTTAAAAAATTATTGTTAAAAAATGCATCAAGTTCAGCTACTATTAAAATTTATCTGTTGTTTTTTATTACCTTTGGCACAGTGTCAAGTTTCGGTTTAGGAAAACTGTTAGGATCCGGAAAATAGTGGCATCCGTAAGGTGACCACTTCTTATTAGATGCATCGAAATGCACGTTCCTCAATTTACGTCTTTCTGACGACATGTGATATCCTCGCAAGTCATCATTGGCTAGATGCTTTTTCTCTTTTTTCTTCCTGGATTTTTCTTCATTACGTGTGTGGTATTGAAGATTTGTCGGAGGAGGATTGTCAAGGATATCTAGAATTTCGACAAGTCCTTTGCGGTCTGCTATGTCGCGAGCCGTCTCACCCTGGGTAATAAAATCAGGATAAAAAAGATTTACCATTATTTAGTCAAAAATATAACTAGTGCAGCGCAGGACATCGTGCCTTAAAGCAAATTTCTGGAACTTCCCGTACAAAAAATTATTATTTTTTTAAAAACGATTAACATTTAAAAAAAATTACTTAGAAAAAATTAAATTTTTGAAAAAAAAATGTTATTTTGACATATTTTGGAAATTCTGAACTTTTATTCAAAGCCATCGTACTGCTTTAACTGCATAGAGACAAAATGTCAAAGCGCGTAAGCGCCGCGTCGCCATCTAACTTATAAGACGAAATATAAGTCGACAAAAATTTGTATCCGCACATACATACACACACGCACACACACACACACACACATACATCCATTTTTTCTAAGGTATGCCAAAATGTTCAGAAACCTTTGAAACGTAAATATATATAAAAAATTTCATTTTCGATTTTTTCGCGATTACTATAACTTGCCCTACGGGAAGTTAAAAAGATTTTCCACCATTATCGACAAAATATGATAAGATAATTGTTATGTTGAAGTTTGTTTGGTTTTTTCAGTATAGTTGTTAAAGCCTAAATGGACCTTTGTTCCCTGCCCTACCCTACGTTGTATATTTTTTAAACCACGTAATCACATCAAAATTTATAATTGACTATTATGATGTGCAGTGATTTTTTATAAGTTATCGAATTAAATGACTGTATTATCATACCTGTGCGTTCCGTAACATTGGATCGCAGCCTGCAGACAACAAAATACGAGTCAACTTTCTCCTCCCCATGGCGCTGGCTATGTGCAGGCCAGTATCGCCATTCAAATTCACTGTACCGACTTTGCAGCGTCCAGACAGCAATATCAGGGTAGCTCCTGCATGACCATATCGACAAGCCGTATGAAGTGCCGTGTCTCCATACTAAAGATAAAAGCATCAATTTAATTTAATCCTTGGCATGTTGTTTGATATTTCATAACTTTTTACAGCATGCATGCTTAAGACTTTATAAATGTATTCATTTTGTTTCGTACGTTGTTCTGAAGATCAGGATCGGCTCCAGCTAAAAGCATTTCTCGAACGCTTTGATTGTGTCCGTTTTGAGCTGCGAGATGCAGCGGGCAGAATCCGGCTGCGTTCCGGGCCGAACAAGACGCTCCTCCTCGGGCCAAAACCCGCACGCAACGGCTGTGACCGCGCCAGGCGGCTTCGTGCAATCCGGTGTTCCCATGCTGTAAAAGAAAATATGAAATTAAAATTTATAATGAAACTAAATCTATTTATATTTATAAAATAACTAGCAAACCCGACGAACTCCGTTTCGCCGCCAGATGGTTTCATGAGACAGATGAAGAAATTTTTTGTTTGTTTTATATTTGAAAAGAAAAAACTTGATTTTATTATACAACAGTAATGAATTTATTTCGATTACAAAAATGAAGAGTTTTTTAGTTGAACTTCTCTAATTATAAGTAAATGAAAGTGAATCCGCAAATTATCCGTTTCATTGAAGTGCTCTTTGGTAAACCACATTTTTTGTTTTTTGGTCTGACGTTAACACAAGCAAAGCGGATGGTTTTCCAACTCGTGAACAGGCAACGTATAACTGCCCATGTGAAAAACAATGATTTTCTAAATAATCTATTTAAAATTTATCCCGCAAACATTAAGCGATTTGCCTTGAGACTTGTTATTGCGAACGCAAGGCAAACTGGAAATTGCAATGGTTTGAAGTCAAACCAGTTTGAAGACCAGTCAGAATCATTGGTATGTCACCAAATCGCCAGCAATTTTTGATTGAATTGTGAAATTCAGTGCGTGTACATCATTATTATTCTTTGCGGCGAGAATTGCTCGTTGACTTAACCAAGCATAATTCAGATAATTCTCACTAATGTCATTATTAGAATTTTTAATTACGGTGCGTGAAGTTCCAGCAGCTTGCATTAAGGCACGATGCCATTCACAACTAATTTTCTTAGCTATAAACCTTGCGGAGCCCGAGACCTTTCCAACGAATGCAAAATTGTCGAAATCGGTTCGTGCGTTCTGGAGTTATTACGTCAGGAAGGAAAACCCGACTTATTTTTATATACGAGTATATAGAAGATATAAGCTTTAAGAGAGTAAATTAGGAAAATTTATAATGGGATAATTGGGAGTATACTTGGAAAAAAATTGATACATTACCATTACATTAAAAACACCCTTAAGATGAAAAAAATGAACAAACAAAATGTGCAATACTCTGTTAAGTGTTATTTACAACAATTGAAATGAATACGTATACATAACAAAGTTAGGTAACTCCGAAGGATATAACTCCTCCCGCGAAGTTGTATCCGAGTCTTTGTCATATCCGACTCCCCTGAACTGGCTCTAGATCTATTTTTGAAGTAAAACTTCTTTAGGCGCGACTAGGGTGCAAATCCATACAAATGCAACGGAAGTGCGTTACGGCTCTCTTAGAATAGAGTTCTTTCGTTGTGTGCGTACCGGCATCAACGTTGTATGCGTACCGATATCAATGTTGTATGCGTACTGATATCAACAAGCAAATTGACATAGATAAATAAACATTTTAAAATTACATCGTAATACAAATCTTGATTTCATGAAAAATGTCTGAATCAAAAGAATCAGATCAACTCAAATACATCATTTATTTAAAAGATATATGGTTCATATTTATAACTGCGATAATCCTTATCCGTAAAAGACAGCAATCAGGAATCATGCCGAAAATTACATAATTGCATTTAATCTATTTTAGTATTTTAATTATATTATTACTTTCACACAATTATAATTACATAATTGTGTAAAATTTATTTAATATGCTAATCGAACTACTAATTAGTAGTCCTCATAATAGAAATAGTAGAAAAGAAATGTGAGCTATTATTATTTGGTGAGAAATATTTTTTTGCAAATGTTGTATTGTAATTACATACCATTTTCTTATATAAAAATAATCAAAGCATTCGATTTTTACTCTTCAAAAATAATTATAAAATTGTAATTACCTACCATTTTTTTGATATAAAAATAATCAACGCATTCGATTTTTACTCTTCAAAAATAATTATAAAATTGAATTTGATTCTCAAATTTTCCGCTTATTCTCCGTATAGAAATATCTGTAAGTGAGTGCAACTCATCATCAGAGAAATGGCAATGGGACTTAAAACTAGTACTATATGGACTCATTTTTCCTCAAAAAATGATAAAGCAAAAAGCGACTATTGTGTGAATTTTTACCTTCTCTTTCTTCAAATTGTGGAGACATAATAAAAAAGAACATCCCAACGAGATCGGAGTCGTCCGAGTTGTTAAGCGGATATAACTCATCTCTAAAGTGGAGTCATATTCAAACTAATCGGGTATCGGATATTATAAATCTCTTTCTAATATATAGTACCTGCGATTATTATTAAAAAAAAAATTATCAATTACCTGTGGATCCGTAGCAGAAAGATCAACACCGCGCGCCAACATTGCGGACAAAGTCTGGTCATGACCCCCGGCTGCGGCTTCCAGTAACGCCACAGCCTGGAAATAAATGAAAATTAAAATTATAATAATTTTATAATTATATTCGAATTATAAAATTAATATTTCATTGGTTATCACAACACCATCACCTTTCTTTTTGTCCTGTCTTTTCAGCCATGAGTGTCGTTGATCAAATCGCGTCGTATATCAGACATATGTGTCTGATACGGCTTATGTAGAACTTATTTGCGTCCGACACATATGACTAACGATTTTCATTATATTTATACCTGTGTCCAATAAGTTCCTTGTAGTCTAATATTAGTACTCACCAAAACCAAAAAGATAAAAGTGTGTAAAGCGATATCTACAATAAATGTGTCTTTAATAAAAATAATTTTAGAACATGCATTTAAATTATATAAATATGATACATAAATATGCAATACATACATAAATAAGCATAATGTTAAAATGCATAATGAAACAAAGATTCCTGGTATTTCTTCGGACCAAAATATTGCTGCTGACTATAGAGCATTTTAGTCTTAATTATGATGAGTTTCTTATGATTCTGTTTATTTGCTCAAGTACATGATTATATTGTAAAACATCTGTATTCAATTTAATCAAGTAAATGCACACATCTCCAAAATCATTCTGTTCAATAGAGGTCCTGATTGTAGAGAAATATTGATAACAAATAATGTTCCGTTCTGAATATTATTTTAAAAAGTGGAAGAATCGTGAAAAATTTATAAATAAATGTTTAAATATTTGGGGCGCATTGATAACAGAGAGTAGTAGCAAAAACTGGCGCTAGAGTCGAATACCCTTCAGTGTCAGTTAATACTAAAACCCTTCATTACCCAATAAATTCATTTCAGATCTAAATCATTATTGTAGAATAACAAATGTTTCATATAAATTATGTAATTGACCATATATCTAAAATGGACCAACTTCTTGACAACAAGAAAAATGTTATTAATTAAAGTGGTCTGTGATAAGTGTGCAACATATGTTGCAGTCAAAATTGGGGATCAAACTGCAAACGAAGAAAATTTTTTTAAAAAAAACGACAAAAACTCTTACTTAGTAATTTTTTATCTCACAATTTTTATGGTTTCCTGGAATTTCTGCAGCACTTTTTTATCTCTGTCGACTATGATTTTGCAGCATTCAGCAGAATTTTCGAGCATATTTTTAGATAACTGCAAATATATTTTCAGAATCAATGAGAAGTAAATATGCTCGCAAAACTCTGCTAGATGCTACAATGCAATTTTATCTTTCTTGTGTGTATATTTCCAGAAACCGTGAATACCCTTTACCAAAAATATTCCTTTTTCCAAAATGCATTACAATGATATAAAATTAACAATTCGTGTTTTACATATATAGTAATACAATAAATTGCACTTTTTTATTTTGCACTATTATTGATTAACTTTGATCAATAAAATAAAAACTAAGTTAGTTGCTTTTTTGTAAAACGAACTTATTAAGTAACATCATCCGAATGCCATAAATTAGAACATTTTTCTAGAGACAAAAAAATTATAGTAGTTAACCAATTTAAATTATCAGATCATTAATTTAAATAATTTTAATATTTGATAGTGCATTTCAAATCCAAGCTCAACTTATTGTTAATATTTTTAAAATAAAATTCATTCATAAGATAACATCATATAATTTTCAGAAAAAAATACTGTATAAAAATTGAGTATAAAAAGGGGAGCTAGGAGCTCATTGTAACAGGGGCAAGTAGTAAAAGGCGTTTTTTAATAAGATCTTAAACGATATTAAATTTTTTTTATCTCGATTTGACAAGCAAACAATCATACATAATATTGTCAGATCTTCCTGGAAGCAGTATACAAAAGTGTGCAGGTGCGTCGTTTTTGACAGGTAAAATATCATAAAATTAATTTTATGATAGTACAATTATACTATCATAAAATTTAGGTTTGGTTTATTATTGACTCATTTTGAATTTTATAAATATTATTTTATTTCAAATTTATCAATCTTTAATAATGTGTAACAATTAATATTGATTGATGCAAAAAATTCACACCTGGAGTTAGGTGAAATAAAACCTTGAGGCTAGTTGTAACATGCAAAACAAGTAAATAAAATTGGGTGGAATTTATAGTTTGTAAAATCTTTGCAAGATACACTGTATATTTATTTGTATTAATTATAGTTTACGTTTATTTATGAAAAAAATTACTTACTTCAGAAATAAGTTAATTTTCTTAAAAATAAGTATAGAATAAATTATCAGAGTTATTACTGTCTTTTTTTTGTCCTGGTAGTTGGTTGAGGTTTTAACTAAACCCAAACTTTTTTTGCAAAATTAATTGTGAGATAATGAACAATATTTATAGAATTATTTTTACTTGATTCGGTAGAAAAATAGTTATTATTTAGAAGAAATATAATGAGAGGATGTCAAGATATATTAAACTGTTACATCAAGCCCCTAACTCCCCTGCTACAATTCAATAATTCATGGTGATAAGTATTATATTTTTTGCTAAAATATTTCATGCACAAAAAAAATACAAAATAAATTTGCAATTTATGGAAAAGCTCTATGGCAAAAGCTTTAACTCAAGTGCTAAAAATTCTCCTGAATTAACGCTTATGCTACAGCGCTTCACCATATTATCACCATTCATAATAAATTTTATTCATCAATATGAAAAATATTGCATATATAAAATAATAGAATATATTTATGAATTTTGAAATATGTATAAGACTGAATAGATGACCTTGTTGTTTATCATTAACAGAATACTCGTGCCGAAGCTTCCTTCAAGTTTCAACATAATGTCGAAGAAAACTTCGGTATGAGTATCCCATCATGCTCCTCTCCGTGAATATATATAAACACTATGTTAATTATCTAAAAAAATAAAAAACAAAAATAACGTGATAAATATATAAAAATTCTTTCACATCTAATGTGTGTGCTTAATTATATGTTTACTATAAAATTTAGTTCCATGCATAAGTGACATTATTTCCACTCTTACCAGAAATTACTGCATAATAAAATCCTTTACCATTACCATAAGCTTTTATTTTATACAAATAATATTTTAGATGTTTTACCTCGTCCGCAGCATGTTGGGCAGCAGCGGGTCGCTCTTTGGGCGTCCCATTGCTCATTTCTGAAACAAAGAAAATACATGCATTTTATTCACAATTCAAATATAAAACGCAAGATAAAATAAAAGAAGATAAATTAGTTTTTCTAGAGGAGAAATAGTTATATCATAAGAAAATCGGTGTATGGTGAAGAATAGTAATAACTGTCTCGGACCTTATTGTATGTCCATGTTTTTATATTATTCATGAGAATTTGCAAATATCATCTGAAAAATGCCTTAAATTATTAATTGGTTTAAGCTAAATTGATTAGAGTAGAGAAAAGTATAAATGTGCATGTTTCATGAAAACCGTTGAAACTCGGAGCAATTCGTCGTATCTGGTAAAATTATTTAAATAATTTCATTATTTTGACATTTTTATTAAAAATTCCATTATAAAATTTATTAAAAAATGATAGGGTAGGGCGGTGCACGAAGGTCGAATGTGACTTTGAGCAGTAAATAAAACATATAAAACAAAAAACTTTTTGACTAGGTTCAGTCCAACACCCAGCTATAATCGTATAGAAATGTGTTTTTTTCTCTTTTTCAAAAATTCACCTGGTATTTTTTACTGCCTAGGCTAGATACTAAAGGACAGCCATCGGGCAAACAAATAAAATGTCCTATTATTTTTAATTCCAAAGGGATTTTACACTATTCAACCAATAGCTACATTATTCAACCAATGCAAAATACAAATTTCATGGAAACATTTTTTACTTAAAACTGTAAAAGATTACACAGTATACAACCTTGATCTAGTAATTAGTAAGAAATAATCATCGGCATAGTCAGAATAAGTAATAGTGATAATTGGATATTAGATAAGATATGATTTTCTTGCGGTTGCAAAATACAGTTTGTTAGCAAACAAATGATTGTAAAAATACATTTTTAGCCGTTTTTTATAAAATTTATCATCTGGTCCTATTAAAAAGGGACAGTCAGGAGTAAAAATGTACTATTTTACTATTTTTAATTTTAAAGGGGTTTCACGGAATAATAGCTATATTATATAATTAATGTCATGCAGTAGAATTATTAGGTCGAACGTCGAAATTAAAAATCATAATATGAATAATATTATTAAATATATTTAATGAACAAAAATCTTTATCAACTCTTACTTCTATCATAAGTCTTACTTGAAAGGTACTTTAAATTTTTCATCTGGTCCTATTAAAAAGGGATAGTCAGGAGTAAAAATGTACTATTTTATTTTTAATTTTAAAGGGGTCTCACGGAATTATAGCTATATTATATAATCAATGTGATGCAGTAGAATTATTAGGTTGAACGTCGAAATTAAAAATCATAATATGAATATATATTATTAAGTATATTTAATGAACAAAAATCTTTATCAACCCTTACTTCTATCATAAGTCTTACTTGGAAGGTACTTTAAATTTATCATCTGGTCCTATTAAAAAGGGATAGTCAGGAGTAAAAATGTACTAATTTATTTTTAATTTTAAAGAGGTTTCACGGAATAATTGCTATATTATATAATCAATGTGATGCAGTAGAATTATTTGGTTGAACGTCGAAATTAAAAATCATAATGTGAATATATATTATTAAGTATACTTAATGAACAAAAATCTTTATCAGCTCTTACTTTTATTATAAATCTTACTTGGAAAGTACTTCTGTTTAATTTATTATAATCAAGCTCATTATTTTTCAAAATATAAAAAAAATGTTTGGAATGCATATTTAATACATGACACCTTTTTCACTGAATACAACTTTTGTCTGGAACTTTGTTAAAAGAGTTCATCATCAGAGTTGGATTAACTATTAATTTAATTTTCCTCTTGTAAAAAGACTTTTTTACAAGACAATTCTATTTATTATTTTCTTTTTGTTCACGACTACTAAGTGTAAAGGTTTGAATAGTCTTTTTTACCCCATCCACGTGTGAATTATTATTGAGGTTATTAAAAAAACTGTTGAATCAGGCTTAAAATTAACAATATTTCTTATAAAACAACTACATTTCTCAATACAATACTTCAAATTTATATTCAGGTATATTAAAATAAACAAAACTAGTGATGTATGGCATGCGTGCCTTAAGGCAAATTACTGGTACTTTCCGTGCCGTAACAAAATGTTCGAAGAATATTAAATATTTTCAAATAGATTATTATAAATATTGTAACATTGTCTAATATTTATAAGAATTATATGAACTGAATTGCAAAACTGAAATTATTTGTTTGAAGTATATTAGAACTTTAGTCAGAATTAAAATTAAAATCTGAATTATTTTCGATATACAAAAAAAATCTGAGGTATGCTAAAATGTTCAGAAACCTTCAAAACGTGGAGAAATGCAAAAAAAATTATTTTTGATTTTCGGCCCATTACTATAACTATCCTACTGAAAGTTAAAAACTAACAACTAAAAACAATACTCTCTTTGAAAAATTGACATAGTAACATAACCGTTCATCTAGTGATAACAATGTCGCCTGATTTAAAGTGCTGGTTGGTTACAAATCTTTTGTGCTCTACTTTAAAATAGTACCGGTAAAATACCCTACGTTACATGTTTTTGATAATAGTGGTGGATCTTGTTACCAGCGGACCTTTAGGCCCCGCGCTATCTTATCTAAATTTTATTATATATTTTATTGTTTACTGCTTTACTTTATTGAAAATATCCAAAATGCTTCTCCTTAATTTGAAAAAAAAATCCGTATGCTGCTAGAATGTTTTATATTTATGTTCGCCTTTGTTTCCTCTACTAAAGTACTAAAATCTAAATTGCTTTTCAGTTCCATTGTGCGAAACACGCGCCTCCATCCAATCTATCTGAAGTCTGAACGGTTGACGGCGGAGAGACAATAAATGGCCGTGTGTCAAATGAAATGAAGACTTTCTCTTGAGACCATTACGTATAGTTTTTATTGTATGTGCAGGATTCAGATGATCAGAGGTGGAGAGAAGAAAATTTTATAAAAATCCCATTAAGTGGGACCACCCTTAAATATTCAGCATTATGGTTCAAAATATTTCGAAATAACATCTGGTCGAGAACCCTGTGACTTCAATCTATCAAGTCAAAAAACCAGTCCTGTTTTAAATCATTTCAAGACTAATAACATACGGCAATTCTTGATTAAAATCAAAACTTTTAAACGATTTGCAATTCATGAACAAAGTGACGAAATGCAAAAATGCATTTTCTTACCACATCGCCCTCAAGCTACTGCGGAGAGGCCTGATAGACGTTTTCAATTATCTCTGAGAAGAAGGCATGGCGTAATATGCAATTTTAGGCTTACAGTCTGAGTTTTTTTTACTCAATCCTTCTAAAGTATAGTAATTATAATTTTGAATATTTAGATACAGAAACAGAATGTATTTAAATGATTTATCTATGATAATTTTATTTGTTAAAATTCAAAATCGTGTTCAGATTAAGAATGCATTACTTTATTTATTATCAATATCAACTGAAAGTTTCTTGTAAGCGTTAGCTTTTATTACTAACGTCATAAATTTTTAATGAATTATATCATATACATATTTTGATTAAAAAAATCTCATTATGATAAGGTGACCCAGAGCTTTCTAGGATCAATATTGATCCTCGGTCTTCTATCCCGGATTATCCCAAATTTTTGAAAATAATTAGTTGAAATTAAATCTTTCAATTATTCAATCTTCTATTACTTGTTAATAAAATTACAGCCTCCTTGAAAAAGACATATGAAAATTTTCAAAGGTGAGTTAAAATAACCTCTAACATTGCAAATTTCGAACTTCCAATTTCAAATTTAAGAATATAGCAAAAATATTCGAAGAAGAACTGTTTAGCTTAAGTACTTTGAAGAAGTTTCGATTTAAATTAACAATACTAATTTTTATTAATGTTATTTATAAAACAAATAGTACAAAATTCTATATCAAAATATTTATAAAATTGTGTACTCGTAAATTTTTCTGTATACAAAAAATTGATTCATTAAAAAAAGTTCTAAATATTTCTTTAAATAGTGTTTTGAATCATATTTAAGTTATTTATATTAGAAATAAAAAATATGGTTACCTTATTATTAACTTCCCTTGGGGTAAATCATAGTATAGTATTTTCAAAAAAATCGAAAATGAAAATTCTTGCATATTTTAACGTTTTAAGATCTTCTGAACATTTTAGCACACGTTAGCAAATAGAAAGTGTGCGTATGTATGTACTTATGTGGTATGTATATATATGCGGATGCAATTTTTCGCCGACGTTTTCCAGAGCCCGGATCAACGGATTTGATTGATTCAAAAATCATCCGATTCATATAAAAGGATAAAAGATGCTTTGAAAAATAAAATCACAATTTTAAATTTTTGAACATTTTAAATGGCGGTACGGAAAGTTTTACCAATTTTCCTTAAGGTACGATGCCATGCACGACTAGTTTATTTTTTCAGCAAAACAGCTATCAACTGTTGTATTATTACATATGGAATTTTACAACTGCATAAGACATGAGGTTTTCTATTATTAAAGTTCCACCAGGAATGTTTATTTTTAAATATTTAGACATTCGTCAATGTGATTTTGAGTTCTATTATAAAATTTCTAGTTCATCATGAATATCTCTTGTCGACTCGGTTGAAAAACGCATTTTTGATAAAAAATAAATTTTGTATTACATAAAGTAAGTATAGGAATTTAGTAGTAATAACTAAAACAACTTAATCATGTTGTATTATCTACTTAAATTAGGTATAGAAAGAATAACATAATTTTACACTAAATAAGTTTTTTATAATTTCAATAACCCAGTGATATTAACACGTTAATCGCCACGATAAATTCAGAAAAAAAATCACATCGGCCATGTTAACTTTATTAAATAATTTAGTTAAAAATGTATAAAAAAATTTTTTTGGAAAAATTCCTGGAAATTTTTATGTCACGCATATATGACCCTATATTAAACCTTATTTTTCCTTCTACTAAAACGTGTATGTCAGACATACATATGTCTAAAATGCCTTAAGTA